TACACGCAACAACGGGGCGTACGAAACCGTAGATTACTTCTTTGAGAGTCGCGGTGCTAATCTTTGCGGTGGGACGTTTCAAAACTCTCAGGCTCCGCTCCGCGTCAATCGGCATCATCGTGCGGCGGGACGGTCGACGTTGATTTCAATTAATCGATCTCGTCCCGCCGACGGGAAACGTCGACGCGAGAGAAGCAGAGAGTGAGAGAAAGAGAGAAGTATAACGGTGTGTATCGATTAAAAAAAAAAAAACAAATTATAAATTCCGAATTGGTTATTCGTATATAGTAATAATGAAAAGCGATATTATCTATTATGATTACAGATTCATTATTGCTAATAATTGTCATGAATAATACGGCGCGACGCGCGTAGTCGCTTATTCATATTCACAATGGCGTGTCGGCAAGTCGTCGTGAATATGTTTATTAGGCGCACCGGCACCAAATGAATAACTTCTCTAAATGATTTTGACAAGCAATCACGAGCCCGGCATCGATCTCCCGAATCGACGCCTCGGGAAAGCACGCTGGCGCGCTCGTCCGTGCGCGCGCGCACGCCTGGCCGACGCCCATAAAATAATATTTGCAACGGCGTCATCGATCGTTACCTCAAAGACTGGCCCCGGCCGGCCTGATAGATGAAAAGATGAAATATGTATGGGCACGCGGTACGACTGTAATGGAAATAGATTTTCTCTCCGCCGCCGACGCCGCCCACAGACCGACGAACGGATGGACAGACGGGAATCCTGGCGAGATAATTGGAGCGCATTCTTTTTTGCTTGCCGTTAATATATCGCGTTACGCCACATGTACGAGGTTTGTGGCAAAGGTGAAAAAGGAAAAGTAAGTTAACGGCGAAGGATCCGAGCGAAGGATATACTCCTCTCTCGTCATTGGCGAGACGAGGACTTTCACGAATGTAGTTGATCTCACTTTTTATCTTATTATTGTACAACTTCTTTTGAAAACTTCTTTTAACCCGTAAGTGGCCGGAAACCAAATTCGGAAATATAACGTTTTGCCGGGAATACCATCACCAAAACGCCGTACCAGGTATTTCGCAAAAAAAACATTCTATTTACCCACTTTCTTTTGGCTATTTAAGAGCAACAAAATAGCAACAAATCCCCATATAATTGTTTTCTTTCGTACGACCATCCTAAATAATTTTTTCGTTATGAGGAGGTCCAGCTTAATGTCTGCCAACAAAATCGCGATTAGGGCAACTAATTAGCACATAAATAGCACTGAATTTTTTCTTTAGTGCGAACTCGATTTGCGATGGTGGGGGGTCCAGCTTAATAGGGGTGCTTTATTGTCATGCTCGATCTCGCGGTTGGAGCGCGTGGCGCAAGCGAACGTGTCATTAATACACGCGCGCTGAATACAGCCAGGCCAGATTACTCGCGCCTATTCTGCATTATCGTCCGCGCTCGGATGTCGAAACGGAATTCGTCGTTGTTGTCGTCGCGAAATCGGTGAATCGCCCGGAGAAGAAATCCGGATCCCGTCGAGTTATGTCCGACGCCACGATTCTACCAGCCATTATTCACACTTGAGCTCCGAGAGAAATCCGACGTCGAAAATTGAACGGTTCTAACCGAGACTCTCTGTAATTTCTTCCTTTCTTCTTCTTTTTAACGGAGGACAATTCGATATTTTCGAAGGGAGCCGGACTTTCAGGCCGGGAGAAACGCGCGATCATCTGTTGCAATTTGCCAACGGACGGTTGGACGGACGGACGATTTGCATGAACCGCCAAAATGCGAGCCGCGTTCGCGGGATGATACATTATTCTTGCGCGATGTATGTACAACCTATTCATTATCGTCGTCGGACATTTCACGCTATGGAAGACATCACGTTTTCACCGTTCGCACGATGCATTATGTGGGCCGACACGATTATTATTATACGACCGAATACACACAATAAAGATACATAATCAAGCCCAGGTAACTTTGTAACTCGGATCGATCGTCCTTCCCTCCCGGGGACTCGTGGGGGATGACCGAGGGAACTCGCGAGTCCCATGAATTATTAAAGAAATTGCAAGAGCGATTATATGTTTCAGCGAAACGCTGAAACTTGCCGGACGGCCAGGCGGGGGAGGATTCGCCCTCGAATTCGCGCGGGGTAGATTTTTTTGGGGGATGAGGGTGAAAACCGCGGATTATCACTGAACCAGGCCTTCCGACGGTGACCCAGAGTTACCTGGTGCGCACAAAGTCAGCGTTATTATTGCGAAAGGGAATTACGCGAATCGGATAATCGCGCGGAGTAGTCGCATACACAACCGGCTTCTTCCGCCGGTTTTTCCCCTCGGCGGAATATTGTTCCCCGCGAGGAGTTAATCCCGCTTCGCGATTCGTTATCGGGCGGACAAACAAAACGATGCGAAGCAGACAAATGGGCAAGTCGCCGCGTTCTTGATATATTCTAAAAGCCGGTTTCGCAACGCCCCGGCGACAAGCAATGCTTCTAGGCCGGACAAATCTGCACGGTACACTACCGAGGGAGAATTCAGGTCGTATTACGTTGCGTGCGCGCTTTTAACGCCACTGTTTTACGGGCGGACACACGAACGAGCGAGCGAGCGAACCGTGATTTAGAGCGCGAATTTATTCTGAATTTTCGCCGGAAAAGCTTCGTCCCATGTTTGAAATAAGAGCGAGATTCCCAATCGGTGAGGGACCTCTATTTTTGCACAGCTTTGGGTATTCCAATCGTAATCTAATGCTGCATGTGGGGAAATCTGGGAAAATTTCTGTGCGGGGAACGGCGCAGATCCTGAGATATTTATGGACGTTAACCGGTGGAAGTCGACGGACGCTCGAAAATCGCTTCGTACCGTCCTCCCCTCCCGCGCAGCCCGCGGTTTGATTAATTATTATCGTGTTGATTGCGCGGGTCATCGCGCCGCGCCACCGCCGCGATGAATTCACTTCTAAAGAGACCGAGGTTGAGAGATTGAGAGGAGAGATCTTCGAGCGGTGTTTCTCCATTTAGATCGCCCTCGAGTAAACAGCTCGAGGTGGAACGCCTTTCGAATCGATTACGGAGGATCCCTCGCTTCTTTCCCTCGCTCTTTTCCCACTTTTTTCTCCTTCTCCTCTCGCAGACGCTGCGTCCGTCTCGTGTGGCTGGAACGAACTAGGCACGCGTCTAGTCCGTCTGTGCTTTCCATCGGGGTTTTCCTACGAATGGCGACAACGTGGATAAACGTGAACGAGGATATCGCGTCGACGATGAAGCTGACGACATGGTTACCGGTAACGTGGCATTGTCACGTTAGCTCGTTTCCGAGCGAGATCACTTTTATCATCGCGACGAGAAACCTCGAACGATCTCACTCGGTCTCGAGTTCCATAAGCGCGTAAACACAAATCAAATTAACGCAATTAGGGAGCAAGTAGCTCGAAGAGAGGTTCTCCCGTCTCGTTCGATTTTCGCCGGAATTTCGCGAAAAATCGTCTGGTTCTGTTGCCGTACTCGCGATCTAGGAGAGAAAGGGGGAGGGGGGGAGAACAGAATCCTTCGGATTCACCTTTGAAGGGGGATGTTCGAGCGGTAATTGAGATGATGTTCGGCGGGGGTTTGTTTTCAGAAAAAAATCCGCCGTGTTACTCCCATCCACCCCTTCCTCTCCCCGTGTCTGCATCCCTCGCGGCCGTTCTTACTCGCGCGAGTCTTCCCTTTTCTCCTTTTACTGTCCTTTCGCGTCGTTCTCGTTCTCGATCGATGTTGCGCCCAACGGATGATAAAAATAAAAGAGGCGAGAACGAGGGCGGGAAAGGGAGAAAAAGGCGAGCAGAGAAGGGTGGGTGGAAGCGGCGAGAGCGGGGTGTAAAACCACGCACATCGCCTTTTCCGCCGATTTTTTGCGACGCATGCGCGAGCGGTTATTGCTTTTTAGCGCGCGATATATTTTATTGTCCATCATATCCGCGTATCGAGGGTGGCGCACGAGAGGGGGGAAGCACGTAGATAAATAAATAGATCTCAGCGGGGTGGAACGAAGGGACGACGACGTCCACGGACGTTTCCGTCCGCGAACGACGGAAATAAAAGCGAGAGACGTAGAGAGATCGTGACCGCCATCATCGCGGCGACGAGAGAGCTCTAATAATCGATCTACCAACCGATTGAATATCTCTCATTTTTATCAACCTTGTTTTCACTCGTCCCCCACCGAGACTCCGCTGCCTCGCCCCCGCAAATCGAGTAATCGTAAGTTAACCGTCGAATTGAAATTGTCCTACCGCAGACTCGGTCTTGTTTAACCTGATAAATCAGCCGTGGAGAAGTTCCTTTAACCGTCTTCGCGATGCCGCGTTAATTATGCTGCGCAAACAGCGCGAAGGGAAGGCACGGGGGGTGGGTTCGGCGGGGTCAAATGAGTAGACGAGGAAACAGATATCGGCGCGGTTTGCTCTCCCCCTCCCCCGGAGCCGGGGAATTGAGTTACTCGACGTAAACGAAGACGCGTTCGCGGATCGCGCTCCGAAGGCGATCAACAGTTCCCGTTTAATTAGGGGAAGACCGGTGGCCTCCGCGACCTCGTTCCTGCACGAGCCGTGTCTGTTCGCTTCGATAATTCACGATACAGAGTGCAAACACGCGGACCCGGGACGATCGTCACGAGATCGGCCGAGAAGCGAAGGCCGTGGGAGACGGGAACCAGCTCGGAGGGAGCGGCACTGGTCCTCCTGTGCGCGTTTCCTTCAAATTCGGATTAACGAAGCCTCCGGTTGCAATTAATTAGACCGCGGGCGCGAGATGCTACGATTATTTTTAACGAAGTAACCGTAACCGTGCCGGGGTCGGCCGGCCGGGAGAAAACAATTAGGGAATGTGCATAGCCGCGATCTTGATTAATAGCGGCGCGGTTTTTGCAACAACTTTCACGGCGGCGCTCGTCGCTCGCTCGCTCGCGTAATTCGGGCGCGACAGCGTGCGTGCGCACCTGTGAACAACAACTCACGCGTCACTCACCGACGATTGTCAAGAGAAACGCTGCACTCGCGATCGCAATCGCCGCGCAGAGGAGCCTCATATTATATATCCCTCTTCTCCGCGTCCGCTTCTATCGTCCTCCTCTCGGCGGCGGGTCCAGCAGCGAATTCACCAGCACCCGACGTCGTCCTGCATGCGCTATCCTCCGATCGGGATCACGTGGCACACATCGTCGATTCCACTCGTCGGCTCGCGTCGTCGGCTCGCTCGCGGAGAACGCACGGTGTGGAACGAAACTCGCACCGGGGAAAGGGGTACGTGCGTGCGTTCGGCAGTGCGACCGGTCGCTCGGGACGTGAAAGACTGAGGAAAGGCTCCTTCGCTCGTTCGCGGCCAGGTATTAGCCTCGGCACAAGCAGCACACTCCGCTCGTACGCTCCAATCCAGCTCCGTGCCAGTCTCTCTCTTTCCTGCACTGTGTCCTCAGAGCGAGGAGGAGGCGGCCTTTCTTTCCCTTCGCGGAGGAATCCTCCTCGAGGCGACTCGTGACCGTACCGACCTTCTGGCCGGTTCACCGCGACAACGACGACGACGTCCTCGCGATATACCGCTCGGAGCCTTCGAACCTGACGAACGAGTTCGTCCTCGCGGATGTATCGCGCGGGGCCGCGAGCGATCGCGCCGCACGGGACGCTGCGAGAGGAAATATTAAAAGGGGATTAAGGTAGCCGGTCGTTAAAGCATTTTCTTGGGAATTCTTCTTCATTTTAGCCGGACATTCATGAAAATACTTGAGGCGTTAATGGCTTATTTTCAATTTCCATTTTTGATTTCTTTTAAATGACATTTAGAATTTCAACGAAAAGCTACGACATTACAGGGATTAATGTAATTAAACAGGATTTTCAGAATTATTGGTCACTTTGTTTTGAAAATATAGCCATAGGAAATTTACTATTTATAATAGTATCTGTAATGTGCACATATATTATATATATACATATACATCGTGCATATACACCTCGTACATATATTTAATAAGTAATAATTATGTAGGAGTTTCTTAATGTAGCCACCGAAAATCCTGCACTTTTTACGGATCAATTACCTTAAATAAGGAGACGCGAGTTTCGAAATGTTGCACAAATACTTAAATATACGATATTTGCGTACTAAAGGGATTTATTTTTCCCGTCAGTCAACGAAGTAATTAAATTATTACGATCAAGTTAGATTAAAGGAAAATCGGAGCAGTTGGTCGAGTGGGATCAGCAATATATTGGATCAGCTGAGCTAAATTTTTCACTTGTTTTGTACGAGCGAGAAATTAGTGAGAATTTTGCCGTAAGTGTCGGAGGTAATTAGTTCGCCATGTACAAACCTGCAATTGAGTTTGTTTAACTCAATTACAGCTGTTTCATCTGATCCTTTGTTTACTGAATATACAGATGTATGTGCTTACTCACCGGACCAATTATTTTGATCACAGAACTAATTGTTTTCAACAGAATAGAATTATTTCGACAAGGTGCGAGGTTCCCCCGGTCGTGCTTTATGCGAAAGACGACGAAGTCGGTTGCCTCGTAAATTACAGGCCTCTTCCTTTTGCTTTCTTTTTTTATTTTTATTTTAATACAGGTATATCATTTTCCCGCTTGAGTGAACGGAAACTGTGTCACGTGCTTATTAAAATGGAGCTCGTCGCTTTCTCCCGCGACTTGGAGCGAGAACACGTGTCTTTGTCTATGGCCATCCGTGTCTTCTCATTGAACCGAGCTACGCTTTCGTCGATCGGCGCCGCATTTGCATGCGCTCCTTTCGGTTGCTGCGTACAACTCGAAAGCGCAGAAGAACGCGTCGCCATCGAGGCGTATCACGCACGTATCGCACTTACGGTCTGTTCGTTTTTTCGCGACGCCTAATCTTGTCTCGTCCATGTCGAGAACAACGTCGACGTTGCTGGTTAAACCGGTGTACAAAGTATGCCGAGGCATTAGTACAGCCAGTAAAGTAAAATCGATTTCGAGTCGACGGGAGAACCGTGGACGAAAAATTATCATTATTATTATAATAATATATACGTATCGGGAAAAAATTCCATTTGGTGACAAAAACACCGTTTACATTTGTAGAGATATTTTTTTACTTTGAATACAAAGTAAGCGCGCGAATTAATCTTCGAAGAAGGAAAATTTATCGGTCGGAATCGGTGATAAGAAAATAAAGCAATTTATTAGTTTGTTTCTGACGCTTTGAGACGCTATTTATACCGCGAAACGTATTGAAAAGAGCCGCCGGAGTGTTCATTAACTAACACGCTTGAACGATTAATTCATTTAGTTCTCTGGATTAGCATTCGAGCTGCTCGCGAAACTGCTTGGCTCTCTCATCATCATCGTGAGGTCGTGCGAATGTGTCGGGTGTAAAAGTAATTCGCGATTAGTCGCGGTGGGGAGATCGAGATTTCCTCGCGAGCGGAAGGAATTGCGCCGGGCGGTGTACGCTATATACGCGGTAGTGCATAATGCTGTACACTTTGTTGATTCCGCCGATTCATTCCGCGTCCACGCGAGAGCGAAGTGGCGACCTAAGTGTTTGCTGAGGCAACACGGCTCCGCGAATTTGAATGAGACTCGCGAGGAAAATGGAGTAGGAGGTGGAGGAGGAGAAGGAGGTAGTAGGCGAGGCAAGTCGCAAGCTCCGTCGCGACGATGTACTCTCTCTCTCTCTCTCTCTCTCTCTCTCTCTCTCTCTCTCTCTCTCTCTCTCTCTCTNTAATATTTCCTCGCGTTTGGGCCGCGCTCGCGCGCGAATGAATACGCGTATTATTGGCGAATTTCCGCAGCACACTGCTCGTTCGATCTTCACCTCCTTCTCATTCTCTCTGTCTCTCTTTCTCTCTCCTTATCTTTCTTCCACTATCCGGACGACGCGTGTACCTTGTCTTAAAATTGTTGCACCAGCATGCCGGACTGAAATCTCCAAAAGGTCCTTCATTGTTATTATCCACCCGACGAATTAACCGACGCTCCTTCCTTGTCTTCTTTCCAATGATTGTCAGCACTAGTGCTGTTACCTCGCTTTTTGGACACAAAGTTAATTAATAATTACTTACTTCATGTACATTTCGATAACTATAGCGTTTAATAAAATAATAATTATTATTATTATCAGTTTAGGAGATATTAAAAATAGCACGCTGATCTCTCAAGGAACACGTGTGGAAAGAACTCAGTCTCGTGAATCGTGAAAACACCGGTTGGTCGGTTTACCGTCGAAGAAAAAGGAAAATCGAACCGAACTTTTTCACTGCCCCAATATTTATCTCATTAGAGACTCGCGTCTTTCTTCAGTCGCTTCTCGGCCAAACTGTCATGCAGATCACGAGGAAACGACGAGCCGAATGACGAACGCGGCAATAACGACTTGTGTATTCTTCTGTATTTCAGAAGCTTAAGTCGACTTTAATGTCAACGTACGAGCCGGAAGAAAGCGACTCCGTAGAGACGAAGATCGCCAAGCACTTCGCCTACCTACACGGCGTCCTCCAGAATCTGGAAGCGAAATTAATGAACCATTTACATCAGCGGCGCAACAGTCTGAAAAATGATTTAGCGGAGATCAGAGCGCATGTAGATGCGCAGGAAGAACAGCTGAGCGTCGCGTTGACGGTACGTCTTTCTAAAATGAAAAGTACAATTGGAAATAATTGGAAAGAATTCTTCTGATTTACGAAAGATAGAGCGGTCCTTTAAGGATCTGATCGCAGCTTTTGTAACGACGTGATATTTTTAATTTTGTGAGAGGATACAAATGTTTTACGTGTGATGACACACGCACCGAATTTTATTTTCCCAGCACACATTTGTATCCTTCCACAAAATTAAAATTATTACACAGTTACAACAGCCACGATGAAGGCTCTTAAGGTTTGTGGTCCCGTCAGAAGCGACGTCAGAAGCGAAAAAATGCATGCCCAGAATTCTTACGAAATATGTTAAAATAAAAAGAATATGTTTATAAAACGATATTTGTGATTGATTGAAAGAACATTTGTAAAATATTCCGAAAACTTCCCTTCTGCTCTAATAATGAATAAATATCTAATAAGATTAACGTGACACGCAATTTTTTTTTAGTCTGTTTTTCTCATGATTCCGTCGCGATAATTTTACCGCTGTTTATTCATTGTTAAAGTAGAAGTGAAGTTTACGAAATATTTCAGGAAACGGAAACCTTAAAGGTTCTAGGCTCTAGATTTCCTTGGCTTGTAATCTACAAAGCCAAACATATAGTTCATCTTCTAAGTTATTCCGTATCGAAGAAAGAAAGATGTTCGTTGCAACTCACGTCGTACATAACGTCATTGTTTTGTCCAGATGGCTTCCTACACGAAGGACAACTTCGGCAAAGTGGACATGCGAAACGCGATACAAGTTCTCCGCGAGATGTCGGATCTCCCTTGCCACTTGCTTCGCAACGATTTCACTGAGGACGAGGCGATATTGTAAGTAATTATGTGACGTCGCAGCGATATCGAAATGATATCGAAAGCGCAATTTCCTTTCCCATTTTCGGAGAGCACATCGGCGCTGTTGACAGTTGTCGAACGACTTTGCTCACGGGATCTTTCTCAACAGGTTTAACATCGATGAAAATATCATCGCACACTTGAATAATCATTGCGCGCTTCAAGTGCCGCAAGTATCGCGCTACCAACTCGTACGAACGGAAGCGTTACCAGAGGACTACAAGATGGAGCCTTTAGAGAAGGACTCTTCCATTGCAGGTAAGGACTTAAAAAAAGGACGCGCGTTTACACGGAGAAAAACAATTTGCTGGCAAATTTTATGCAAAAAATCTGTCAGTTATTATATGAACAGCAAAACGATTTGTTAGGAAAACTAATTGCCATTATCTGGATTATTTTTACTGAATCTACCAATTATTTTGCTGTGAGAACGAATTAATAAACATAGGAAAACTATTTTGTTCTAACAGCAAACTAACGTGTCCTAAGGACAAATTCACTCGGCAGAATATTTTCTATCCTGGAAACAAAACTGTTTTCGCTCTAATTACGAATAATTCGTTGATTTGATTGTGCCAATTACATTTTATCGCTGTCGCAACGAATGTGCAGTAGCAACGATTGGTTTCGCTACGACGACAACATTATTATTCCCTGTGTACATTAAAACTTTGGATACTTCTTAATTTCCACGTCATTTAACTGAAGTGTTCAATAACATACTCGATGCATCTGCATTTTTAACCCTGTTATAATCCCGTTTTATTATATATATCTGCATTTTTAACCCTATTATAATCCCGAAACGTTTCCGGCAGATGTGCTTAATCAGACTTTATCGTCAAGGACGACCAGGTCGCCTCCGTCGAATGTATCGGTCTCATCAAACGTATCGTCGACAGTAACGCAAATCGTCCAGACGGAAAAGACGGACGAAATCAGTAAGTCGATCAATCAACCCCCTTTCGATCCACGAACCTCGATCTAATGAGAATTCCTTTCTTCCTTTTTTTCCCACAAGACGTCGACAGGCATCAGGTAGAGGTAGCATACATCTACAATCCATCGTCGTTCTACGTCCACTATCTCTTCTCAAAGCCGGAATATGACCAACTGAAGAAAGATTTGCAAGTTTACGCGAATAGCTGCGACGAGAGACCGATTGAACTCCACCAAAGTAAGAGCGGGAGATTGAATGATCGTCGCGGCCTTGCTCGCGCGTATGTCGTTACCGTATTCTCGTCGTTACAGATGACATGTGCATCGTCAAGGAACGGGTGGGCTGCCGTTGGCACCGAGGACGCGTGCTCAAAGTGAAAGACGTGAGCTTAAACAACTTTCCCGAAACGTTGTACACTATACTTTACATAGACCAAGGCTATAAGGAATGCCATGTGCCGATCTCGAGGATACGGACCATCAGTGATAAGCATCTGAAGTTACAACCGCAGGCGGTTCGATGCTGTCTGCACGGCATAGTGCCTATAAAGAACATGTGGTCGGCCAAGAGTACAAAGGATTTCAAGAAGTTGTTGCGACAAACGTAAGTGATCGTCACGTCGACTGTACGATCGGCGTCATGTGTTCTGTACAATTCCTTAGATTGAAAATAATACGTTTAAGGTCAAAAGCCGTATAATTAAAACCACTGTAACTATCATTATAATTAAAGTTCTTGTGCAGTCTTTCGATTTTGCAGGAGTTATGTGTACGACTGAAAATCGTGTAATTTTCCGTCTAGGGAATGATACAGCATACATGACGCCGATTGTACAGTAGACTCCATTAATTCTGTCCCATTATCTAAGAACAGTATCATTGAAAATTTACAAATAGGCGAGTTATTTATTCGTGTGCATTATGACTGCTACTTTGGAGAATCGTTGTGGATTCATCAAATTATCAACTATGTCGCGATGAATGGGAGAGACACGGGGGAGAAAGTAGGGCGTAGCGTCTCGAAAATCGTTTCTCGAAAGTGCGAATAATTCCGATCACTGATTTAATGAATCGACAACGATGCTCCAAGTAGTAGCAGTTATGATGCACAAATATATAATAATATTCAGAAACGATGCGCCTAATTGGAAATTTTCGATGTCACTATGCCTAAAGAATGAGAGACTGCATTGTGAATCGAGTCTTCCGTATCCTCGGACAATCATTCGAGTTAAATCTAGCTAATTAATTAAATAACGAATGTGTTTGTAATTTTAGCACGGTTTTCATGCATATCATGAAGTACACTTTGGATATTCTATACGTGGACATTTGCACCGTCTCTTTGGCAGGCAACAGCATGGGCCCGCAATCAATATGCAACGCTCTGATATATATGAAACACGCGTGTAACGATATGTCGATATCTCAGGTGTGTAAGCGATTTTGCCGAGCCGCGTTGTATTTATATTTATCGATTATCCGAAGAAGCTAGAACGATGCGTGAAATTAACATTAAGTCTGATCTACATAACTCGCAGAACGCAAGACCGCAGGTCGCAAACGCAGACATAAGATGACGATCAGCGGGAAGCTAATAAATATGTTAATAAAAATGCTAAGAAATATTAATAATTCACACGTTAATCCTTAGATTAATGTGCGTATCCATGATATAATATTTGAGTTTCTCTTTGTAGATGCGTCCGATATACAATACCTATGTGTATAATAAGGAAGAACTTACGTTAAATAAGACTACGGATGTTACCGTCAACCACGTCGAGTCTCCGGCTGAAATTTACGTGTCGAAGGTAACACGACTTCACTGATGTATTATTATTTATTATAAATGCTGGATCATTCCTTTTTTCTCACTCTAAAATTGCACCATATTTTTTTTTTTTTATTTTTCACCGTGTCCGCGTAAATCCGTGCAGAGAGGGAAGCAAAATAATCTTTTAAAGCTGTTGGGTGAGTTAAAAGAGTATTACGAAGGCAACACTTCAGTACCAATCATCAGTACGCCTAAGGAAGGTTAGTCTTTTATTTAAATCTTCTCATATCGACTGTCTCGATACAGCCGCGAATCTTATCGGCATTAACATTAAGTGTCACAATTTCGAGAAGGAATTATCAATCCAGATCACAGAGATAGCACAGTTATTTTCATATTACATTCTTTAAACGTATGTAATATAATTATGAAACGTTTTACGTACCTTTAAAGAACGTGTATGAAACTAACATGTGACACGGCTAAGTTTGATGATCGTAATTGGAAAAGGAGCTTCATTAAGTATGATATAAATGTATTAAAATTTCTGAGAGTCTAATAACTCTCTTGTACTTGTATTTTTTTTTTTGCAGTTATCGTTTATTTTATTTTTATGACACCATTCGAGATGCAATATCTAAACAATCATCGCTAATATATCAATGGAAAAGGAATTCCCGACGAAACATAACCTTTATTAAATTTCTCGTCCAGGTTTACCGTGCGTAGCACAGTACACAGACGATGCGTGGCACCGCTGTGAAATCGCCAAGGTGATATCTGAAAATAAGGTCCAAGTCTTTTATGTGGATATAGGACGTACTTTGACTCAGAATTGCGATGTGTTGCGAGCGATTTTGTCCAAATATATTCATTTTAAGACCCAGGTGAGTCGGTTAACATAATAAGAAAGTGACGTGTTTACTCGCTACTTACTCCGCTATTCCGTATATAAAAAACAAGTAAACCTCTCGATATAATAATAATAAACCGATATGTTTACAATGTGTTTGACACTTTGTTCCAGGCAATAAGAATCTCACTGATGTACGTGGCTGCCGATCCCGACGGTAAATGGAAAGCGGAATCTATCGATGAGCTATCGAGGATTTTTCAAGACGTAACTTCTGCTCTATTGTCCACCCGAAAGAAGACAATAGACGGATATAGCGCTTGCATACGTCTGCCTGATATCCCGGACGTTAGCCGCCTGTTGAAAGCTAAACACCTCGTCAATTGTTGGTAAAGTGGTCGTACCTTGAAATTGTTCATACCGATACTCAATATTTTAGACAGACGAGAGCCAGTCGCGACTTGGAATCACCATTATCTCTCTCTCACTCTCTCTTTTCATTTGAATGCAACAGGAATTCCGACGAATCAAAAAGAAAGATCGGCCAACACGACGCTGACATACCGGAATCGTTCGACAGAGAGTTTTTGTCGGAAGAATTCAAGTCCGACATCAGATCCGTTCAGGAGGAGGAGACGATTAAAGATCCTTACAAGATGGAGGTGTACATAAAACAGATGATCACGCCGGATTGCATCTACGTGACGCAAGCGGAGCGCAAGGAATCGAACGCGAGCTTCCTCGAGGAGATGCAACAGTTCTATAGAAGCTTCTGCTCCGAAAAGGGAAAGAATTGGAACGAGGGCGCGGTGTGCGTCGTATACTCCGCGAAAGACAAGTCCTACTTACGTGCGAAGATCTTGAAGATCAAATCTCCGGAGGTGTTGGTCTACTTCTACGATTTGGGCATCGAGGAGACGGTGACGATTGGGGACGTACAGTATCTGCATTCGTGGTTCGCGAAACAACCGGCGTATTGCTTCAAAGTCAAACTGGCCGGCATTCTGCCGTGCGGCGGGTCGTCCGCGTGGCCGTCATTGTCCTGCTCGACATTGTCTGATATTATACGCAGAAACGCGCGCTACAAGTTTTACATCACTAAACTGGTGAGAGTTGCTCGTCTCTCAGAAGCGTCGGGGAATATGCACGGTGAATTTATATATAATATTATGTGTGTGCTTTGAAGGTTCAGCAGGAGGTTTGTGACGACACGATACCCGTGGAACTATGGGTGAGACAGATAAAAATACCGGGGCCGTTGGCACCGAGCATAGTAGAGATTAATTCTATCAACAGGATGCTGATAGAAGAGGGTGTTGCCTTGCCTATCAAAGAGTACGTGCAGTGTCTCAAGGTCTTTTCAATACTTAAGGCTTCTATTCCCTCGTCGCAGCCACCTTTAATTTATGACGCCAGAAGACGTAAGAAAACGTATGCCTAAAATTTCTGCGGATTACGTTGAAATAGAAAAATATCAGCATAAAATGATACTTGAAAATATTCCGAAAACTTTCCATTTATTTTAACAGTCAATAAATAAGCCGTAAAATTAACGTGATAAAATCATGAGAAGGAAAGTTGAAATATTTCATGAACGCGCCCAATCAATCGCAAGTGTCATTTCGTGGACATAATATCCTTTTGTTTTGACGTATCTCGCGAGATTATTAGACATGTGTCTTCTTGCTTCTGACGTCATCAAATAATACTATTGCAATGTGCGACCAGGAATATTTAGGACTTAATATATATTTCGAGTGTCCTAGCATAAGGAGAACATCTAAATATCTCCTTTGTTTTTAATGATGAACGAGAAATATTTCGAGTATAATTTGACTAGTTTCGAAGGGGGAATACCGCGAGAGGGAAATTTTTGTACATTTTTTCAGTTCTTTTAAGATCCTCATATTTAGGCCCCAAAATATTTAGGTGTTCTCATTATACTGGGACCCTCTCTGTACATAATATACTTCAATCGTAACACACAATATATTTTTCTGTATTTATTGTGATCCTTAATGCGATAGCTACTTCTCCAAAGCGAGGTCGGTTTATGTTGCGGAATTCAAGCGACAATTACTGGACAGCCATATGTTCGTGTCATGTGATGATGACATAAAGTGGCTTAATAAAGAGATTTGTCGCAGCGTTAATTGCGAGATAGATGATTCGTCAACATCACACAAATACAGTTTGGAAGAACTATTGAAAGAAACTTGTATCGTTGGCAAGCCGAAAAAGGAACATTCGAAGAGAATATCTGACTGGCTACCAGCGCTTCCGATAACGGAAGAAGTATTTCACGCTATACCAACATACGTGGACGACCATGGCAGCGTGTACTTGCACTCCGTGAAGCAGAGTATGTTTTAATTATATAATATTACACAGTCATGCCACATATAGTTATAAATGATTATGTAAAATGTATTACTACCTATTTACATAATATTTATTTATTTATAATATTTATTACAATACAAAACTTCCTCCTAAGTTTACACGTAGAGTAATCGACTTACATTTATATCATATTGCGTGTGTGTCTTTTTTTATACTAACGTATAAGATATAACAATGTTGTTTAAGAGCTATGCTATTTGTTGACTTTTCCCTTTCTAAAGTGCATCTCGCTTTCATTAGATTCCGCGTCGATTAGCCTGATAGAGAAGGAACTGCAGTCTCATTTCGAGTTGAAGGAAATTCAATTATACCACAATTGGAAAGAAGGAGATGTGTGTATCGCACAATATCATCTTAACAAGAGATGGTATCGCGGCAGAATAATCCAAGTTTTCGGTGCAACGCTAAAGGTAGGGGACAGAGTACAATACATTCATTTATTATTTCTAATTGTCGGCTTTACGATATCTGCTGAAACTCGTGACTTGCGTGCGTTTCAGGTGGCGTTCGTCGACTATGGAAATGTGGAGGATTGTGACGTTATGAGTGTATCGAGAGACATTAAAATGGAGCATATTCCCATTCAGTGTACAAAATGCGTTATCAGCGGCCTGAGTCCGGTAATACGGCTTCACTCTTCAGTCGCTTTAATTTTCGATTGCATTCATTTCATATTGTTCTATGTTCTTAATTTTTTCCATTCGTAAATGAGCTTCTAATTCATTTTCTATGTACATCAGGAAACCGTAAGCGGCAACTGGACATTGGACGATTTAGACCGATTACACTCGATCCTTGTCGATAAAAAGTGCAGTGTATCTATTTTGCAGCGGGAACCCACGCATTTGGTCGTAAGTGATATTCGTGCTAAAGAGCAATGCATAAATCTTCAAGTTAAATCTTCAAGTTAAAGCGCCAAATAACATAATAATTTCATCGTAATTGTTAAGCATCATCATCGTTTGCAGATATCGATAGCATTATCAGAGGCACCTCATTCGGATTTCCTCACATGCCTCTTAAATTTGAAAACCAAAGTAGGTATGAAAATTAAGATCGAACGCAAGGAGTGGAATGACTCGATCGACGAGGAAACTTCGTTGTCCGACTCTGCCAGAAACTCCGTCCTTAATGAAGAAATAACTAACAATGAGGACGACGACACCTCGAAGACATCTTCGTTGGAATTGGAAACGAAGGATGTTATGTTGAAGGAGAACGTGATTAGCGGAAATTCGATAGAGAAGCTCGAATACAACGATGACAAAGAGATACTTCACTTCGAGGATATTCAGTGGCCGGAGTTATTTACTTCGGGGGACTGCATGTTTTCCTCAACGCCGCAGAATGAATCGGAGGAAGGGAGTTTCTTCGGCGAATATAAACCGTTGATCATTCCGCCGGATACCAAGTATATCGAAGTGATATTACGTTGCAACAGAAGCCCCATTATCTCGTGCGCGCAATTGGCGGAAAATAATGACGACATGTTCTCTGATGTGAGTACAGAGAATTTACACCTATATTTTTTAAACAGCGCTTATATTTAAACGGATACTCTTGCTCGGCGTATCTCCGATTCTCGGATACTGCATAATTATCGCACAAACGTTCCTCTTTCAGGTGCTGCACAATTACTATTTGCAGTATGAGGCCGTAACGTTGGACATACAACAGAATGCAGCTTTTCAACCGTTAATCGAATCTTTTGAAAGTAGTGAGTTACAACCTGCAATAAATATATACATGTAAAAGTTCGATGATCGTGAAATAAGATAGCCGTGATTCATGTCAATCCGCTGAAAATCGCCCAACAAAATCAACAAAAATAACAATTCGACGTATTGTTATGTGGATTCGCGCCGACAATAATAATCGTTCATTCACATTTTGTTCATTTTCACAGATATTTCGTGCGTAGCAAAGTTTACCGATGGCGAATGGTACAGATGTGTTATCATGCGCAGCCAAAGACTTCCGAACAGTAATGTAGTACGTGTTATGCTGCACTACATTGATTACGGTAATAGCGATCATAAAGATTTGAATTTGTCGGACAAGTAAGTAAAATGTTAATATATCATATCCACTATATTTGTGAACTGTATGATGTGAGGATTTTATCTGTAATAATTCACCAATGTATATCTTGTAGAAATCATGATTTGCGTCTACCGAAGAAAGAATGGATGGAGGTGCCCGCCATGGCTTTCGAATGTAAATTTTGGAACATTAATTTCGTCTCTGACGATGTTAATTTGTTAGCAGACAAGTTAAATGAAATATATAACAAAGTAGTCGTGGCTAAGATTAAGGTATATATATATATTTTTTTTTTCTTTTTACAGGAAATTTGTAGTTTAGAAAAATTAATATAAAAATATGTTAATTCAACATCATTGTAGGAAATACATGAGAACATGCTGGTGGCAGAAATGTACGAGAACAATATATGCCAAAAACTTTTGTACGAACAATTGATAGACGAAGATTTATATCAGCTTAAAAAATCCAAAAAAGACTGAATCGCATACGCTCATTTTCGCAGCTATACATTCCTAAACGTTAAGTTTTAGTTTTTCTTTGTCACTGTGTAAACGAAGTTTTGTAACAAAAGTCAACTTGCGGTTGTAACTATATTTAATTTATATTTGTGACAGGATTTATTTTCATTTTGTCTAATATAGAAATTTGTTTGAAAGTTTGATCTTGTAAGATATATGTCCTAAATTAGAAAACTCATAAGTTCTAAGTGACCTAAAGCGTGTTTGTTTGTTCAGGAAATAAGACAATTTTGGTCTTATAGAGGTGTATCGATGTATCTATATTGTTACCATGCTGTTCGTTACAAAGACGTTTGAAAACAAGATGTATGAAAATGTATCAACGTTGAGTACTTTTCGCGATTTGTTCCTTTAGCACTAAGATACTTTGCCTCTGCTCGGGTGGTAGCATTGCAATTTGCTCATCTGACAATTGCAACACCTGCATTATCAGAGCCGCCTGCGAAGAAAATAGAGATTTATGATTTCATTATAACAACGTCTCCCGAAACAATCGTGCTGAATTTGAACAGTATATTCAGAATAGCGATCATGTAACCTTCTTGCGTTTTCGCTCCTAGGGAGAACCTTATCTGGGAGAAGTCAAATGATCGCCACCGTAAAAAATTTAATTTGATCGTTATAACACAAGAAACAATGAACTCGACATTTTGATACCAAGTTTGTATTAAAATCATATTCATTAAAAAGAAATGATTTAAGTTTCTCATTTTTAGCTCAACCAAGTTTTACCGCTTACAAACGATTAAAACTCGAGCTCCGGAAAATCGCTGTTAAAATGAACAATAGTTTCGGAACATCCTGTATAGTTATAATATTTAATATTTTTCGTTTATAATACTTCGGACTAAAGTACATTTATCACGTTTAAGTTTGATTAGATTTATTACGTATAAATTTATTTCGCTGCTGAAAACGCGCGAACGAAAGCTTAAAATTGTACCTCAAAATAAAGCTTTTTTAATACTTTGGATAAACTGTTTCTTTTTCTTCATGTAAAAATATGCGGACCTCGTATGTATGTGAACACGTACCTTTTCTTGATCTGACGCGCCGCTGGGAATATTTCCCGCCGGAGACATTCCAGCCATGAGTCTGGAAGTAGCGGAACTCGCGGACTGCGAGAGCGCAACGGCAGAACTAGCCGCGTTACCTGTTACAGTGCTCGGCGTTGGTACCGTAGGTGCGGCAACCGGTCTTGGCACGATCGGTGGCGCGACAGGTACCGCTGGTTGTAGATTTCACCGTTCAAGTTGAGAGAATACGACAGTTCATTGTAATATTTATCTTATTATTAAATTATTATTCTGATATAGGGAGAGAGAGATTTAGAGGTGAAAGGTACATATCGAAGCTAATTCACTTGTACAAGCTATACATGCGATAAAAAGGATAAAAAGGTTTCACTGAACGTACGATTAGCTTTGGTAATCCTGGGATCGATGGGCATCCTTGGGTCTCTGGGATCTCTCGGGTCTCTGCCAAACCTGTCGGCTCTTGGATCACGGCAGAAGCTGAAATCAACGATGACTTAGCACGGTGATAAATAGCGACCGGAACTATCTTAAATATGTATGTATTAAACACCTCTCAACTCCCTCCACAGGAAGATTGCTGCAAAAAAGGGCGGCTCTTTCAGTTATACGATTTACAGTGAGCTTATTGATAAATAACTGAACAACGTAACGCACTCACTTGTCTGTAAGATTGAACGCATTAGGAGCCCTCGGATCGGCGATAGCCGGTATCACCGGTGGCGCGCTGACTGGCGTGGGCTGATTTTGCGGAGGCGCCCTCAGATCTTGATCCATCCTAGCTAGACGCGGATCCATTTGTCTGTCCAATGTACGAAGATCCACGTCTTGACCTGATTCGATCGAGTGTTGAGTAAAATCTCTTCCTGTTCTTCTTATATCGCCGTAGCGATTGTAAAGGTTTGACATATGGCGAAATAAACGACGAGTTAGATAACAGAAGTCTCGTTAATCTATTACTGATTCACTTCGGAATCGGAACTGATTTCACTGAAAGGTTAATGCCTTGAAGCATTGATACGCAAGTCTCGGGGGGACCTTTTCTCCGTTATTAGTCGCAATATTTTCCACTTACGAATGAGATCGCAATGTGTCTCCACTGATACGCTAACTTTCCTATTATTTCCGCTCTTTGAAACCATTTTTCCTTCGTTGGCACTTTACTAATAGGCCAAGCATCGAAGTACATTAAAAAAGAACAGTGAAGAACAAATTGATAAGTATTTATCTTATTGCAGAGGGTTAAAGCAGGGTTAAAGCAGATATCATCGTTGAGACAAGGTACACACTGTTATACCTGCAAAGATAGGCGCCGGAGGGTTGACAGCTGGTGCAGGTCGTGCTGCCCAGGGCTCCTCGATCCGCGGCTGGATAGGATGCGCCACAGGCTTGTCCGTGGGCGCCAGCACACCCGGAATAGGATTGGCCTTGTGCAACATGCTGACTGCCGTGTGAGGATCCACTATTCTCATCACTACCTGTGCTTGGAGCAGAGCGTACGCCAACTGAGGATTCTGCAGAAGCATCTGACGCGCTTCGTTGGGATTGTTTTGCACGCAAAGCTTCATCTGCTTCATCAGCTCGAACATCTGCTCCGGCGGCAGGGAAGCTACGGCTTTGCTGATCGCCTCTGGAGCCTTGTCCGATTGGACAACTTCTCCGTAGGGATTCTCTGTATTCTGTCCTTGCAACAAGCTCTGCATCTCCATTCGACTTTTCTCAGTACACGCGTTGTCCACACGCAGCGTTCTACCACCGATCTCGTATCCATTTAAATTTCTCATGGCACTCAAGGCCGTCTCTTGATCTTTGTACTCGCAGAAGCCATATCCCTTAGGCTTGCCAGTCTCACGATCGAAGACTAACCTGTCGCAACAAGTGAGAGATCGCGCGTGTAAGTAAGAACGTTACCCTCATGATTGGATGAAGAACTTCGAATGCCGAAAAGAACACGTACTTCCGGCAAAAGATAGAAAACTCACTTGAAGGAAAGCACCGGTCCAACCTCGCTGAAGATATCCTTCAGATTCTCCTCCGTAGCCTCGTACGGGATATTCCCGACTGTGATCAAACATTGTGCACGGTTATTATTAACGCCGACTGCGAATTCAGATATCACGACTTACCGAAGACACTTCGCATCGATTTATCCATCAGTGATTGATCCGAAATAGTTGAATTACTCATTTTTCGTGCTTTTGTTTTCACCGCTCAACAATCAACTTTCAATGATCGGATGAAGGAAAAGCACGTACGTAACCCTAATTACAATGCGCACGCTGTTTCACACCAAGTTCCTGCAATTAGACGTAACGACAAGCTTACTGATAGTGTTTGGCCTTTTTTTTTTTTTATTGTGATCCACGAATGCTTTTACTTTTCAATAATAGAGGCAGGAGTGTTGTTCCGTCATCGTTTACCAACAACTATCGGATCGTTGCGTTGCGCAGCTTTTCCGCCATATGTTATACCTGCGCAATGACATTCCTTAGCCGACAATATCACGACCACAATTTTATTCGTATGCAATAACCTACACTGAAGTAGTATAAAAAAATATATTTTATAAAAATATTTAATTAAAAATTCGAGACCCAACGAATTATTTTTGGTTCTTTTTGGTTCGAGTGCTGTGTGTATATAATCGCCTAATTCACCAGAGGTCTGTTCCTTTTAGCAGCACTGCTGAACCGGTGCGATCAGTTAGAGCGAGTCAAAATATGCTTGTTTCATTCTAAGGGAGAATTCACACCTTGATAGAACCGAGGCCGCCACATATTGAAGATGATGGCGGCTCGTAGCGGAGACTTGGAAACTAATAAAATAACGAGTATGGTAATCGCTAGCCGCCTATAGGTCGAAATCTTTTTCTTTCTGAATTACGTTCAAATAAGGTTCGTATCACAGATACGAGCTATTATGAAAATTACAATCGGACCAATCGGGTAATCTAAATCTTGCTTCTGATTTATCTGGTTTATCTTAATTCAGGTTGCGTTCGAGACGCACTATTTGACGGCTAGAGTAGCTTTTAATTATCCAATCACGATAAAGAAATCTGCTCTTTTTATCCTGATCGGTCAATTAAAAACTATTCTATCCGTCGAGTAGCATTTCCGAACGCAGCCTTGAATAGATCGTTAGTTCCGAAGTTTCCGTTACGAGTCGCAGGTGTGCAGGAGCGGGTCCTCCATTCTGATCACGCCATTTTGCCGCCGTTTCCTTGGTAACCGTACGAACACAAAACAAATCGCCCTATGTCATAACAAGACAGTATTGTTGCGTTAATTTAGTAATAAACAATCATTGTTGAATGTGACAGAATGAGAGCACATCCAGCATGGGTCGACAAGGTACAAGACAAATCGGATCAATGGTAAAGCTTGGACAAGCCGTTTATTATAATGATTACAGATTATTATGAAATATAAATTAATCTGCAAATACTCGTAAGATTGCTAAATTCATATCTTAACACCTGCCTTACAAATATAAGTAAAATTATTTAGGTTAAAGCAAATATTATATATTCCAATGTTCATTACTTTGATTCCTTGTATTCTTCAAATTTTTAATTTTATTTAACACTACTTGGCAATATTATTTCAGTATATACGATCTTTGTTTTAATCCGGATGGTACGCAATTGGTTGTTGCGTCTGGCAATCAAGTTCTTGTATATGAGACCAATGATGGTGCTTTGGTTCAACCATTAAAAGGTAACTATATTTATTTATCCATAAATCTCATGTAATTTTCTATATATACGGTTGCAGAAATCTTACAATTATGTAGTTTATTATAGACAATTAATTAATTATTCTTTTGATTTATATCTTGATTTTTTTCTATATTTTATAGGCCACAAGGATACAGTATACTGTGTATGTTATGCCAAGGATGGTAAAAAATTTGCATCAGGCAGTGCAGACAAGAGTGTTATTATCTGGACTTCCAAGCTGGAAGGAATATTAAAATACTCGTAAGTCGTATATCTGTAATATATTTGATAGCTTAGAGGAGCTTTTAATATGCTGTTTTTACCTTGATCAGACACAATGAGGCTGTACAATCAATGCAATTTAATCCCGTTTCACATCAGCTGCTCAGCTGTTCTCTCTCAGACATTGCCTTTTGGTCTGCGGAACAGAAAGCTGTGCAGAAGCTCAAGTCTGGAGGGCGAGTCAATTGCTGTGCGTGGACAAAGGATGGACAATACTTAGCCCTTGGTCTTGCAAATGGATACGTATCCATAAGAAACAAAGTACTTCACTTACAAATAATACCCTCAAATATTTCCTTGTCCGTGTTTTAAATCAATTCAACAAGGCGTGTACACTCTTTCCAGAATGGTGAGGAGAAAACAAAGATCGAACGACAGCTTGGAGTACCAATCTGGAGTTTATCGTGGAATCCTTTACGGTACTTTCGACAGTCTAATATAGAGATATATAACTGTCGTTTATTAGAAAATAAGTGAACACGTTTTACGTGATGTTGCGATGTCCTTTTAGTGATGACTCTACGGACATTCTCTGTATCGCCGAGTGGAATGGAGTAATCTCGTTTTACACTATTGGCGGAGAAATAGTCAGGAGAGAGAGATCGCTCGGTTTCATACCGTTGAAAGTGGTTCATTTCCCGGAAGGCCAATACCTTCTCGTTTGCGGCAGCAATAAGCAATGCCTGTTGATGACCCACGACGGCATACAGTTGGTCAGCGTAGGTTCTGCCTTCTCATCGTGGGTATGGAGCTGCGCCATTCATCCGACTGCTTCGCACGTTGTGAGTAACTTTTTACAGTTCGTTATATTGAATGCTTATTTATGACTACGAATTATAACGAATTATAAATTTATTTACTTTACAGGCGCTTGGTTCTCAGGACGGTACGATCACGTACTTGCAACTATCCTGGAACGTCGTGCACGGCCTGTACGGGGACAGATACGCCTACCGAGAGAACATGACCGACGTGATCATACAGCATTTGATCACGAATCAAAAAGTCCGAATTAAATGCAAAGATCTGGTGAGCTGAGCAGTTTTTCTCGAAACGACGGTGAAATACGTTTGCCCTCAAACGACGATTGAACACAATGTATAACACCGTTTGTGTGACACAAATTTCAGGTATGCCGAATCGCAGTTTACCGAAACAGGCTGGCCGTGCAATTGCCGGAGCGTGTAATCATCTACGAGCCGTCCGGCGCCAGCGACGGAATGCATTACAGGATACGAGAGAAGCTCAACCAGACGTTGAACTGCAATCTGTTGGTTGTCACGTCGAACAATCTGGTTCTGTGCCTGGAAAGGCGTCTGCAGAGCCTCTCGTTCACCGGGGTGATAGAGAGAGAATGGATACTCGACGGGCTCATCACTTACATCAAGGTAGCCGGCGGCCCCGCCGGACAGGAATGCCTGATAGCCGGTTGGTGAAATATTTCTAATGTCGCTTCATAACTTCAAGTTAACGCGCGAACAAACGGAAATTCGAACGTCAGGCTTGAAGACCGGCCACGTGATGAAGATATACCTGGACAACCCGTTCCCCGCGCATGTGACGCGAATCGAGGACTCCGTGCGATGCTTGGACATCAGCTCCTTGAAGGAAAAAATGGCGGTGGTCAGCGAAGCCGGTATTCTCTCCGTGTTCGACCTGTGTACCGGCGAGAAACTGCAGGAGTTCCAGGACGTCAACAGCGTGGCGTTCAATATCGCCTTCGAGGACATCATGTGCTTCGCGGGCAATAGTTACCTCGCGATTAAGGTAGCGAATTTCTCTGAATACAGGCAGAAGTTCTGCGGCTTCGTGGTGGGCCACAACGGCTCGAAGCTGTATTGCCTGAACGGCTCGTCCATCGTCACGCTGGAAGTGAGTAACCTCCGCGATTCAACGCTTTATATAAATATAAAGCACGTGTTATAATACTAACTATTCAGTAGCTACACACAGGCGTGGAAACGAAGTTCAATCTTCTCACTTTTCCTCGCTTATTTAGAAACACCTCACTCTCTTACACTTAAAAGAATAAGCTCACCTTTTTTCCTATTCGATTAAAATCCTTTAAAAAAAAAAAAAAACTTGATCGCAAGAAATCACGTTCAACAATGTGCTTCTTTGCAAACAAAACGAAAAATTTGAAGGAAATGGCACGTAACAATTTCGACGATACAATGTTCATAAAGTGAAGAACTGTGGTTTTATTTTTAAGTTGTTTTCATCAGATTTGTCAGGAAAACAGACCGGCACGAGTACAACTGGCTGTGATTTCTCCAAATCACACGGTGAAATCGACCGTCCGTCCGCAATTCTTGTTTGTTCGACAAAGCAGAACGAGTTATTAACGAACGAACACAAGGAAATAAACACAGACCAATCAGCTGAACAACTGAAAGTTATTCGGAAAAGACTCATCCTTTACTCACTTTTTTTTTTTTCTAAACCTGACTCACCATGTTCCTACCTTTTCAAGAGCGAAGCCCACTTTTCCACCATTTTTTACAGCTAAAACGCTCCACCACGGTTACTTACCAGCTCCTTACGTAACGATCATTCGCAGGTGCCGTTGTCACTGTTCATGTATCAGTACCTGGACATCGGGCTGTACGGTCACTCTTACGACATCGCGTGCTTAGGCGTAGCCGAATCGGACTGGCTCGCCCTGGGCACTGCGTGCTTGGACAATCTGGAGCTGAACATCGCGTACTCGGCTTTCGCGCGGGTGAAGAAGCTGCGCTACATAGAGATCGTGTCGGAGGTGGAGGAGAAGCTGAAGTCGGGCGAATGGGGACGAGAGGCGTGCATGGCCACCGCGGCGGCCGCCATGGGCAGACTCCGGGACGCGGCGAAGCTCTACCAGAAAGCCGGCCTGCAGCAATACGCCTTGGACATGTATTCCGACCTGCGGATGTTCGACATCGCCCAGGAGTTCATTGCCTCCGGCAACACGCAGGTCGGTCTCAGACGAACGCCTCTTAAGCCTTGAACCGACGCATCAAGCGACTTTCGGGCTTCAGGATCGCACGGTGCTGCTGAGACGACGGGCCGAGTGGGCGAAGAGCCTGGGAGAGCCGCGCGCCGCCGCCGAGATGTTCCTATCCGCGGGCGACGTCGATCGTGCCATCAGCATCATCGCCGAGTACGGTTGGATCGACATGCTGATCAAAGTAGGCAGGCAATTGGACAAGGCGGACCGCGACAACCTGTCGATGATAGCGAAGAAGCTGAAGCAGCTGGGCGCCTCGCACGGCGCAGCGGAGATCTTCAGCCGGCTCGGGGACGATCCCGACGTCGCCGACGTGCTCGTGGACGCGCAGGCGTGGCCCGAGGCCTTCGAGCTCGCCGAGAGGAATCCGAAGCTGAAGTCACGGGTGTACGGGCCGTACGCGCGGTGGTTGGCGGAGACCGGCCGGTTCTCCGAGGCTCAGGAAGGTATTTCATCTCGCATCCCCTCACCGCCTCCTCCCAACAACCTCGTGTCCGTCCGAGTGTTAACGTTTGTATGTCTCGTCGCGTTCTCGCCAGCTTTCCAAATGGCCGGACAACCGGAGGAGTCGATACTGGTGCTCACGATGCTGGCTAACAACGCTGTCGTGGAGAAGAGGTTCCGCGACGCCTCCTATTTCTATTGGCTCTTGTCACAGTTGAGTCTGAACCTGACGAAGAGCGCGGACGAGATAAAGACGATGTTCCTCAACTACTCCGACAAGGCGGACGTCTATTACGCGTATCACGAAGTGCACAAATATCTGGTAACGACGGCCGGTACACTTTCCGATATAGACGCGCTCTTCTCACTCTTTCTCTTCGTCGATTTCGTGTGTCGCAGGAAGAACCCTTCACGTCGCTGATGCCGGAGGCGTTGTTCAACATCTCGCGATACCTGCTCATGAAGACGCAGAACGTACGTTTGGACGGCGTGTCGAAGCTGACGATAATGTACAGTTTAGTGAAGCAAGCGCGGATATTGGGAGCCAACAAGTTGGTGATGCAGCTGCTGGACCAGCTGCGCGCTATGAGGATCCCCGCGAATCTCTTGGCCCAGGTGGAGACGTCCACGTTGGCCGCCAGGTCTTACCCGTACCGCGACCCGGAGGAGTTGCTGCCGCTGTGCTACAAGTGCTCCACCTTCAACCCGTTGCTGCCGACGAACAGTGTCTCCGGTAGTAACTGCACGCAGTGCGGCCTGAAGTTCCAACATTCCTTCGTCATGTTCGGTGAGCGCGGAATGATCGCGATCTAGTCTTGAGATTTTCCGACCGACCTTCGCCAAACTCAGATTAAACTAATCGATGAATAATAATAATAATAATAATCGTCAACATCGATCACTCCGATGCGCGTTAGCAAGACGGAGCGGGTGACACTTGATCGTCAGCGATCTTGAATCATCGATTAGATTAATGGAAACTTGGTGAATTTGGTCATCCTTAGCGGGCTGTCACCGAATCACCGCGTTTCTAGAAATCCTGCCGCTGGTTGAATTCGAGCTGGAGGACGATATCACGGACGAGGAAGCGGAGAAGCTGATAGAGGAGCCGTTGCCTTCCGACGACGACGTCGCAGTGAGCGACCAGTTCACCGTGACCTCCAACGAGGCCGATCTGTTCACCGTCCGCTTGATGAGATACGAGGTACAATTCTCGGCTCTCGTATCTGCTCTCTCGAAGGAAACGATATCCTCTTTCTCTCTCTCTCTCTCTTGCCGCAGGGGAAAGCCAGCAGCTCGACGATAAGTGTGGGCAGGGGAGTGTTGAAGAGCATGGACCCGTCCACCGTGATAATCATCAAGTGGCCGAAGCCCTTCAAGACCCGATACTTCCGAAATCTCTTGCCCGACCTCCAGATCAGCCTGTGCAAGTGCTGCTTGAAGGTGAGTCGCGCGAACGACGTCACTCGGTCGACCCCCACGGAAATCCTCCTGCTTGTGTGTAACTTTGCCGTACATTTCCCAGTTGTTTCATTCGGACGACTATGAGCTGGCGTTACTGCGACACGGACATTGCCCGTTCTGTCGGGCGCCGAATACCCCGGCAGGTTGAGGCGTCGTCGCAGGTCAGGAGATTTCTTGTAGGAGATCACGCGTACTTATGCCAGGAATCGTTAGAAATGTTCTATTGCTCTCCGTCCCGAGATTTTATCATGATCTTGTACAGTGTTTTGTTAAAACGGCAATATAAACTGTTTGCTTTCTTATGTGTGGAGATTTTTATAATTGTACGCGACACCTTCCTCTCTCTCTCTCTCTCTCTCTCTCTCGATTCGTTACCTTCACTCATCGTGTTATCCGTGCGAGAAGCGGCGGCAGGCTCAATCCGCGCACATAGCCACGTAACAGTCGTACAGTTAAGCGGACAGCAAACTCGCGAGGTGTCAACCGGCCGCTAATTGCCACGATCGTTTGAGCGAATACATGTTCCGTTATCGGAGCCGAGGATACAATCCTCCGCGTCAGTTTTACACCGTCAGACATGATCGGCGTACTGTTAACCGGTTGCTTCGCCGTTGTACCTCTCGTGAGCGCTCAGACTGTCGACCAGACCTCGGGAGACGATGTCGCTTTGGAGGTGAAATCGCCCGGTTCCAGCCAACAAGGAAGGTGTAAGTCCCTTCTTTAGAATCAGAACGAGCGACTTCGAGACGTCGACTCGCAAAACGCGTCTCAAATGCGTGCCCTTAAATCTTCATCTCTGCGCAGTCTTCCCTCTGTTCAGCGTCGTGCGCTTCGCCAATTCCCAGTGCCCGTCGAGCGGCGAGAATCAGCTGAACGGCACCTGCTTCACGAGGCGAGAATGCATGAGCTTCGGAGGCATACCCTCGGGACCCTGCGCCAACGGGCTGGGCACTTGTTGCGTGTGTGAGTAGCGTAAGTAACGGACATACGATAGGGGTAGTAGACCTTCAGCTTTCTGTTCCGACCAACGAAACGTAAGGTGATTCCTGACAAGAGAAACGTTTCTCGCGCTGAGAGATGTCGTAGTAACGCTTAAATCCTGGGGATCTGATGACGGTGGAGACGCTTTTTGTTGGAAATTACAACGTTACAGTTCAGCGCTTAGAGCAAAGGGCTCGCTGGATTTATTGTAGATCCGAACATAGTCTTTCGCTCCGAGGGAAAAAATGTAACGTAATTTTTGGAAAAAAAGGACGTCTTCCGCAAGATTTACTATACCTATCGTAGATACGGGCGGAGAGCAAGGCGTCGTAGGGATGAAAGTAAACGTCTGTTGCAGTTCAGAAATCCTGCGGCTCTACCACCAACGTGAACAACACGTACTTTGTGAGTCCGAATTATCCCATCACTTATCGGGGAGGGGAACGCTGCACGATCACCGTTCAACGCTGCAACTCCAAGATATGTCAGGTAACGTTGCGCGCGAAAATTTGGAGTCGAGTCTGCTATTCTCGCATCTCTCGCGTTTGCAGCTGCGGTTGGATTTTCTAGAGGCGACTCTTGCTCAACCCAACGCCACCGGGTGGTGCGATTTCGACGTGCTTCTGGTGTCCGGAGGCTCGTCCACGGTGCCGAGAATATGCGGGGACAATACTAATCAGCACGGTAAATCGACCGATGCGAATCTTGCGGAACTAACGCGTCGATTGCGACGTAGACTTCCGTTGAATGTATTAATGCTTAATCGCGACGGTCGACTCGCCGCAGATACGGTGAAGCAGCGATTCGAGACAAGTGCATTCTTTTCATCTCGTTCCGTTCATTCTCTACTAACGACTTACGACCGATTTACGAAAATTATTAATTATATATATATGTGTAGCGATGTATATTTATGTCACGGTATTCAACGTGTTAACAATCACGACCGTTTCAGTGTACGTTGACTTCAATGGGGCAACGCCGATCATGATATCCGTCGACACCAACGCAGATTATGCGTTCGATCGACGCTGGAACATACGGATTCAGCAAATACCGTGTGATTCCGTCTGCAGAGGTATACGAATCACCGTCGTGATCATATAAAAAGAGAACAGTAAAGACAAATTATTGGTCTCATTTGTACCTGTAAAATAAATGTATGGATACTCATTATTAGCAAACCAGTGCTCTCTTTAGCTCAGTGATGGATCGCTAAGAATCTGCATCCATGCGCTCAGTTTATAAGTACGAACGCCCAATAACCACACTCAGCCTTTCACAGCTCTTTCCTTTAATTTTCTGACTTTAATGAGCCTTATTGTTACATATTTAAGAATAATAATATTTGAAGCATCGTTATCATTTTAAGAAACCTATTTGAAGCTGTAACTCATCTTCGTTTCAGCTCCTAACGGGTGCTTGCAGTATCACAAGACTGTCTCGGGTGTCGTGATGAGCTTCAATTTCGGTACAACGGAAAATGTTCGAGGTATACATCGATCGGCATGTTGCGGCAAACTGCGAACGATCGGTTTGAACGATGAATTGTTTCAGCTCCTCAAATCGGAACGCGGCAGATGGTAAATCACCGTTACGGCGTGTGCGTTAGAATGGCCCTGGGATATTGCAGTATCGAGTGGTCGCAAGTAGACAATTTGTCTTTCTCCGTTTCCGGAGACACGGGCTCGTTTGATCCGGACATAATAGGTAAAATGATTGGTGATAATTTTTAACGGCGATCAAAGTGCAAGAGAGAGAATTTTTTTCCGAGTAACCTTTCAACATTTTTTCATTACAAATTCAACGAGTTACGTATTATCCAATACAATCGATGAATACTTGATTATTTATTGGGCTGTTTAATTATTGCCTCAACAGGTACGGATTTGGTAGCCGAATCTGGCGCAAGCTGTATGTCAGATTTCGTGATTATACCCGATCCGCGTGAAAACGGCGTGCCGACGAATACAGACAGGTTTTGTGGAAATGGATTCATCACCAAAACAAGTGAGTTCACGCAAGTGTAATAATAATAGAAAGCCGCGTTATATACTTGGTTTCGATGCGATTTCTATCTGATGTAGCTTAAAATACAGTTGTGACAGTCTAATGAGAGAACTTGTCTTAAAGATGAAAGTACCAATGTCTGGACCTATCTCTGGACATTCTTGCCGTTGCGGTCTTTAAATATAAACATTTAAATTTCCAATATAGAATACATACATGTATATTGAATATATACTTTTTATATGTAAATATTCCGTGTATAAGAAAACAACAGGTTTAAAGTTAGGTACCAGACCAGGCGATAACGCCTTTTACTTTGATCAATTTTCCAAAATTCCCTCATTGGACGATTGACTGATCCACATTGCACCAACAAGAATATGTTTAAGTCGTGCTGAAATCAAGTTATGAGAACGTTAATTATCTCTGGTATTTGATTTTTAGCGGATTTGAAGCCGTTCGTGCTCTACGTTGTAACGAACGGCGACGAGATGCTGGACGCTCAAAATAAAGGCTTCAGACTGATGTTCCGTCAGCTCCCTTGTACTGTTTAAGTACACGACATGTCAGATATATATTTTGAATTAATAAGAATTCATATAACCCAGCAAACATGAAGTTACAGTTGTATAACTGTTAGTTATAATTTCCTAATCAACAACGTAACTGTTATATAACATGCGTTATATAACAGTTGTATTGTTAAATAGGAAATTATAACTAACGGTTATGTAACTTGCAACTTGATGTTTGCCGGGAAAATCCTCAACAGAGAGGATATCGCGAATAATTAAATATGTAAATTCAATTTAATGCATTTATTAATATTAGAAAATATATAATTCATTTCTGGAACGATACGCATACATTACCTAATAATTAGTACATATCCTTTTATGTTGTTTACAGTCGTGTTATATAATCGTTAATACAATCAACATAAAAGTATAAAGAAACTTAAAATAATTTAGTAGACAACAATATATTATATATTAAAAATTTTGTTAACGCAAACGAAATATATCTTTTACTTTAAGAACGTATGCATTTGTAATTAATATGTTTGTTAATTATTCGAACAGAAGTAAGGCTAAATAATTATTACGGTAAAACATGCCATCTTCCTCATGTTCTGAATCTCTTTGTGGCCTATTGGATCTAAATCTATTTTTACCGTGATAAACAAGATTTAAAGGTGAATCTAAAACTTCAGCCACCATGTTTATGTTTTGTTCGGATTTAAATTCTGACTTTGAAGTTAGTATAAACGGACATTTTTGTTTCCGTATTTGTAAGAACAATTTTGAACATGTTTCTTTATCACTATCACTAAAATCTACATGAAATGCTGCAATCAAATTTGGCGACTCATATGACAGACTGTTCACATAATGATGATACGATGCACCATAAAATTCGTATGTAAACTTCTGTCTGCATCTCTTGCATTTAAAACAAGTATTAATAACATTACGTTCGTAAATTAACTTTGGCCCTATCAGTACAATTTTTAGATTTTCTATCATGCTTGCAAGATGTAGAAGAAGCTCCCAAGCTCCTATATATTCTTTGTCAACGTAGTTTGTCGCTATTATATGAACAACAAAATTACCTTCTGGTCTATTACATTCAAATTTACTTAATAAATCGCTATCCTTCATTCCATAATATAGTGTCAGAGGTCCTGATGAGTAATCAGAATATAGGCAGTCTTCATCATTTGTGCTATCGGCTCGACTTACATAATGGGAAATAAATGATTTCATATCAACAATAGGTCGATTGCTGTTGGGAAACATAAAGAATTTCAATAAAAATTGATAATCTTTCTGAAATAAAGTATCTATTTTGAGACATAACTGCATATCCATGCAAATGGATTCAGTATGATATTTGGTAAAGATTTCTAAATGTTCATTACAATAGTTACAGGAATAGCAAATTGTACATGTGTGCAGATTCGCTTGTCGGTGACAAATAAAACACGATTTTGCGAGTGTGATCATCTGCACTTCGTACGGTACTAGGTCACGTTTTAAGTTTGATTGGATTAAACGTAGCATGTCTTTCCTCGACTGGTTCCATCCTTCCCGGCTTAAACAACGAATGTTCCATCGCTCATCTACTCGTAAATAATTTGTTATAGCCTTGCAAAATTGCTCATGCTCATCTATTTGTATCAATGTGTGCCCCTTGTTGCAATAAGAGATCATGCGGCACTGATTACATGTTATGAGATTGTCATTACCTATTCGCTTGCAAAGGTGACAAATATTCGGATTGAAGAACTTATTATAATCATACAATTCATTTTCTTTTCTGTATAGGAAACAAACCTTTTCCTGAGATATATTGGACATATTGAAATTTGAGTATAATGAATCATTGATGAAGATGGCTAAATAATTATTACGGTAAAACATGCCATCTTCCTCATGTTCTGAATCTCTTTGTGGCCTATTGGATCTAAATCTATTTTTACCGTGATAAACAAGATTTAAAGGTGAATCTAAAACTTCAGCCACCATGTTTATGTTTTGTTCGGATTTAAATTCTGACTTTGAAGTTAGTATAAACGGACATTTTTGTTTCCGTATTTGTAAGAACAATTTTGTGCATGTTTCTTTATCACTATCACTAAAATCTACATGAAATGCTGCAATCAAATTTGGCGACTCATATGACAGACTGTTCACATAATGATGATACGATATGCCATAAGATTCGTATGTAAACTTCTGTTTGCATCTTTTGCATTTAACACAAGTATCGATAACATTACGTTCGTAAATTAACTTTGGCCCTATCAGTACAATTTTTAGATTTTTTATCATACCTACAAGATGTAGAAGAAGCTCCCAAGCTCCTATATATTCTTTGTCAACGTAGTTTGTCGCTATTATATGAACAACAAAATTACCTTCTGGTCTATTACATTCAAATTTACTTAATAAATCGCTATCCTTCATTCCATAATATAGTGTCAGAGGTCCTGATGAGTAATCAGAATATAGGCGTTTACAAGCTTCATTTATTAGATATATATAATGAGAAATAAATGATTTCATGTCAACAACAGGTCGATCGCACTTGGGAAACTGCATGAATTTCAAAGAAAATTGGAAATTAAAAATTGAAATATCCGATCTGAGACATAACTGCATATCCATGCAAATGGATTTAGTATGATATTTGATAAAGATTTCTCTATGTTCATCACAATAGTTGCAAGAATAGCAAATTACACATTTGTGCAAATTCTCTTGTCGATGACAAATAAAACACGATTTTGCGAATGTGATCATCTGCACTTCGTACGATGCTAGGTCACGTTTTAAGTTTGATTGGATTAAACGTAGCATGTCTTTCCTCGACTGGTTCCATCCTTCCCGGCTTAAACAACGAATGTTCCATCGCTCATCTACTTGTAAGTAATTTCTTATAGCCTTGCAAAATTGCTCATGCTGATTCATATGTATAAATTTGTGCCCCTCGTTGCAATAATAGATCATGTGGCACCGATTACATCTTATGGAACTATCTTTCCGCTTACAAACGTGACAAATATTTGGATTGAAGAAATTGTTGTTATAATCACGTGTCGAATTTTCCCTCCCGGATGGCAAGAACTGCATCTGAGATGTGGACATGTTGAATGTAACGAATGATTGCATATACGTTATTTGAAGAATCAATTGTGCGGTACTCGGTATCAAATTCTCTCTACACAATTCTGGCTTATACTTAACGAACGACTGTTTGAATGTCACTAAGACGGTATTTATCTATTTCCTACAATGTCCTAGGAATTGTTGACAAACTGAAGTGTATCGAGAGATACACAACGAATTAAGATTATCCGTTACCAAATAGAATGTCGTGATTAAACATACATATTTCCAAACTAATATCCCAGTAAGCAATCTATTAGCAATCCTACGATAGATTGGCGACAGATCAACAGTCACCCGTGATCTGCTGTTGTTTTGTCGACAGAGCCTATCGACAGAATCTGACTGCAAATTAACAGCGGAAAGCGAGCATGATTCGCAGTATGTTCCATTTAAATTCATGGGAACGGCAGATTCTGCTCGATTTCTACTATCAGTCTACTGTCATCATACTCTGTCCTCAGATCTTGTTTCATTTCTGCCAGCAAACTACTAAACAGAGTCTACAACGGGCATTGCGTAAAATTTGCTTTTTTGCAGGTTCGGTTATCTAGAATTTTATTACATTTATCTTTCGTCATACAAACTGACATGCTTCGACGAAATTCGTACAGCAAAACATGAACAGTAGACTTGGGAGAACAAAAAATGTATATATTTTCTACAAACATCTCTTAATATTGATACTTCTCGTTTATTGTGCAAATACGTAACTCTATACACGGCGCATCGGTGAATGGTGTCATATAATAATTTAATTTCTTAATTTCATGCTTCCGGCATGTGTATCAACTTGTTCTTTCACAGCGTCGTACCAGTCACCAATTTTCGTATTCGCTCTTAAATCTTGGAAAGCGTCGCAGCCTTCGATGCTCTTTAAGACACCGTACACTGCCAGATCGGACAGATCAGGCTTGTTACCGCCCATGAACGTGGTGCCGCGTGCACGGATGTTGCGCAGCCAAAAGTTCGCCTCGTCGTACAAAGACTGGCGTACATCGTTCTTTAGACGATGTTTCTTCTTGAGTTTTTTTCCTATCAGCCACATCGCCGTCGCACCGACGTTCACTACTAGTATTCGTTCCCACAATGGAAAGTACTCCTCCCAGTTGCCGACCTGGATAAAATGAGTTTTCATTTCGCTTGGTTGTCTCACTCTTGTCAATATCGTCGTTAATGCCATGTACATTTTCAGATTTTTTAATAAAGGAGAGTTCATACTCACATCTGAAAACCATCTGAAAGTTTTGTAAGATTCGTCGATTGTCCTGTATACATTTGGCGAAAGTACATGAACGAAAACTTCATCTGCCCATTTCCTCCACTTGCGTTCTTCTCTATAAATCAATAAACGATTAAGTGATAACACGAAAATTGCGCAGATTTAATAAATTAGTCCGGAATGCACTTACGTTATATCGTTTATCGTTCTGTTCTTTGGCAGCTGGTTGTTAAACATAAGGAAATACTTATTTATGATCTCGAATTTAAAGTTGCCCTCTTCATCCAGTATTCCTATATTTGGGTAAAAGTTAGCTAAATCCTCAACTTTATAAGACTTGTCATATAAGTGAGATGCAATGAGAGATATTATCATAGAACTGTCGTTCAAAGGTTGATAGCCTTCATCCACTTTGGTCAAGAGAATCGGAACTTTCTTGTAAGGGGACCATCCAATCTCCTTACGGAGTACTGGATTGACCTCTACAACATCATAGGATATTCCATAGTAATCCAATACGGTTCTAACCTATGAAATTTTAATTAATTTTATATAACAATACTATCATGTAATATGTAAATGTACATGTAAAATATATGATAACGCATTTTTTTTCATTCAATATTACAAGATTCAAAAGTATCCTAAATGAATAGATCTATACCTAGTTTTGACCTATATAAAATTATAATATATTCAGAATAATACATAGTACAGTTCGTAAATTTGTTACTTTGTTACCTTAGAACAGAAGGGACACGTTTGATACTGAAATAACGTAAGTTTCAATCCAGTGGTGTCTATTGGTGATATAACCTGGAATGGAAAGACCGTTTTCTTCAATATTGCATGGGGAACGCAACGAGTAACGTTAAATTTGTCACGATATAATCCATAAAATTACTCTTCTAGACGATGGAATGGGTGGCTTATACTTCAACAGCACGGTTTCTTGCTGCGTTCCTTCTAAATCGATGCTTTTTCTGGCTTTTCCGATCTTGTAATAAGCATAAGTACCACCTACGAGGACACCGGCAGCTGCACTGATTACACCGATTCTCTTTATATTCAGCGTTTTCGGCTGCTGTATCATCGTGCAAAACGACCGTGTACATCCATTTTCATTCGTGTAATAGTTTTTATTGAGAAACCTCGTCCTTTGCAAAAACCGGGCAAACTTATGCGCAACTGCCATTTTTAGGTTAACAGCAACGATCTGACATCGATGAAGGACGTAAAAGAACTCTCGCACGTAACCACGTGATAGAGATATGCCCTTGTACTGAGCGACATATATATATATACTACACCCACACACACACATACACAGATAGTATATATACAGAGGTGTCTTTGGTAAATAAAAACTTCATTATTGTACAAATTTATTTTAAAATTGAATAAATAATTGCAGGTACATCTAATTCTCATTAAATATAGTTTCATTAAAAACAATGATTTTTGTAGTCATTGGGGTAATGATACATTTGATAGCAACAAAGTATGTATATATTTATCTAACATAATTTAACAATATCAAATTATTCAATTTTATTCATCGTTATCGCTCTAATTAACATAATATTACTGTTCACAATGTCTATCGACGTAGGCATGATGAGTCATCAAAGATTTTATAAAAAATACGTTCTTTAATGCAAATAGCATTACTATTCTGTTTCTTCATAACATTACAAATGCTGGCGAAATGTTTGGATTGCGTCTGTGCTATATATTCAAAAATTTAATAATGTACGGATATATATATGTATATATATATAAGCATGCTTCTGTATAGAATATTAATATATGTTATTCATATGCATACGTGTATACATAAGTAGCAAAAGTTAGTCTATCTGGAAACCTAGTTCATTTTAGGTTCTTTAAAGGCAGTATTCTCGTATTTGTAAAATACGACGATACAAAAATATCATTCATCGTTGTTAATAACAATTCTTCGAGGCAGTTTAACACGGAGATTCATTAAGATGTTTCGACGAAATCCCTCGGGACATATACTTGACCGTTCCTCTTCACCATTTTTCACGTATTTTACCATCCCATCCCATTTCAGCGCTTCATCTTGTCGAGAATCGGCACGACCATGTCGAAGGACGGCCGCTTACCCGGATCTTCGTTCATGCAAATCCGGATGAGTTTCGCGAGGTGCGGAGAGATCCCTGGCGGGATGCTCACGCGTAGATCTTCCAGCGCAATCTGGAACAAGTCATCGGATCTTGACTCCATGCTGTGAACTTAATTGAACGCGTTCAAGTCCGCTGAAGAATTCGCAATGAGGTTTCTTTTTCCGCGAAAGAAAGACCAAAAAGAATATCTTCGCTGACTTCCGAGTTAATACAAATAAATCATCGGCACCTTCATTCCGCACTCCATGGGCGACAGATCCGCAAATGGCACCTCTCTGGTCGCCAATTCCCACAGGAGAACAGCGAAGCTCCACATATCGCTAGCTTCGAGATTGATGTCCGCCGGACGCTTGCTCAGCGCTTCCGGCGACATCCACGCTGGCTCATAAATTCGTCCGATTTCTTGGAAAGAGAACTTCGCGTCCGCCATGTTCACGCGAGCCGTTAGATCCTCGTCGATCTAAAATCAGAATCGACGTTAATGAAACGTAACAGCTTTCGAACATACCTGGGTATCCTGTTATTTTTACATGATTGGTTGCCAGGAACTCACCATTATATGCTTACTGTTCAGATGAAATCTGCACCTGTTCTGCCGATCCAAACCGTGAAGAAACGCCATAGCTCTGGCGACATCGAGAGCCAGCCGAAGAGCGCGAGCCGTGTCTACCACGACGCCGGTACCACCGTGCAGAAGCCGGTGCAAGCTACCTCGCGCCATGTACTGGGAAACAGTCGCCAGTTGAGGTGGCTGATTGACGCAGCCGAGGACCGGCAGAACGTTAGGATGCGAGAAGATCCTCAGCTTCGGGAACTCCTCATTGAAGTCCCGGGAGATACGCGCCGTGCACTCGCGAACATTCAGAATCTTGGCGACGATGTCGTTGTTCTGCCACCGTCCCCTCCAAGTTTCGCCGCTCGGTGTGCTCGCGAGATGCGTGTGGAGAGACAGATCTGCCATGCTGATCCCTTTGTGCCTCGATAGAGTCGCGTCTCCTGGTGGGAATAACATGGGAATATCGAATGAATATGGAATAATTTAATTAACACGGAATTTCATATTAATATGGAAAGAACATGGAGCGCGTAACTTATCCGTTGAGCGTCTCGAGAAATCTGTTTTAGGGTTTAAGAAGTACTCACGGCTCCTGGTCTTCAAGCCCAGCCAGCTCTGATCTTTGAACTGGATCTTCTTCAGGTCCTGGCCATATTCCACCGCCAAGTCTGACGAAACGAAGAACATGTTACTTGTGCAAATATGAAAAATATCGACTGCTGATACCATCTTCTACATACCATGCAGTCTCTTGGCCACGACACCCCTGGCTTTATCAAGGGGAGTGTCGCCGTCCTTGTTAGCAATCGATACGAGAGCACCGGCGGCGACCAATTCCTCCGCAACTGCTTGGTCTCCCCAGAAACAGGCGTAATGCAAGGCGGTATTCCCATGCTCGTTTGTAACATTTACATCGGCACGATTTCGGAGTAGCTGCAGATAAGATTACAAGTTATCTACTTTGAGCAGGACGGCTTCAACCAAAGCAAACAGAGCGTATTGACAAATATCTTTTTACCAATTGCACTATCTCTTTGTGGCCATGCGCCGAAGCAAGATGCAAGGGTGTATCATCACCTCTGTTGGTAGCATTAATACGTGCTCCTCTGCTGACAAGCAACTCTGCCAATTTTAAGTGGCCTTCTTTACAACACCAGTGAAGCGGACTAAATCCGTGGTCATCGCTGTACACATAAAGTAACATATTTGAGTAAGATAAAGCGTCGTACAATAAAAAGAAACTAAAGCCCAAATTATCAGACATATTGTCCACAGCCAAATACAAGCAGTTTCTCAGAAATATCAATCAAGAAACACGACTCGTCACAGATGAAAATTTTGCCTGTATAACCACATCAAACACTTATTTAATATTTCCTGATAACGAAATCTTATATAAATTCATGAGCAGTCCGCCTTCTAACGCATTCAAGAGACACTTCTCATAAAGAACACTCCCTTTGCAGAGAGCCATATGACCATTCGGCAGGCCTAATTATAGAATCTGAGAAACATATCCGACTGTAAGTCTCTCGTCTATAAAAGGAATTTTGAGGTAATCACCCTTGATTCATATCATGCTCGGTGTCGTCCAGCCAGACGCGGACTTGCATGGCATTGCCCTCGCGACACCACTGAAATATATCTTCCATTTTTCTTGCCGTTATATCATAAAACCGAGGCTAGTAAACACAGGCGAGAGAACGAGATATATCAGAGCGACTGTTCGTGCTCCCGAACCGCTAGCCGTCATACGCTAAATATAGCCATATTCGTAACACTAACACACGAGCACAGTGGCAACCTTATTACTCGCCACACACGATTCTCTTACGCAGGAAGGAAACTATGATGTGTCAGTCGCGGTAGGCGCGAGCGCACACGAATATCGTGTAATCTCTGATCCAACGGTTGTATAAAGTTGCGCCGGTTAGGCGAGTGACCATATACGATGCGGTCAACACACAGGACGACGGACTCTGCCCACATCAGATCACAGTGGGCGGTCACTGCTATCCCCTTTTACGCCACGACGTCCTTGACGTGAACCGAGATAAGAGACGTCGCGACGGCATCTTCAGCGACTCGTGAGACGCCAACTAGATCCACTTTTGCTCGTTGTAAACTGGCAGCGTGGGCCCGATCTGTCATTGTCGGTAAAGCACCAATAAAGCCACTTCTACACTTCTCTGCACTCTCGCATCCATCCTTTTCTTTCTCACTCGAGCCTCGAGCTGCTCCTATCTCGCTTCGAGTGCACAGATCGCGTGACTAAAGCCCGTGTTACACTACCGCGTTGCAGATGCGGATTGGATCGCTTCAATCTGGCTGCTTCAATCTGATTGGCTGGTCAACGATTCGCAATCCGCAATGCCTGATGTGATACAGAGCTTGAACCAGCATTTTCCGGACGAGCGACAGGAGTCAACGAAAATGACGATAAGCTCGGCTGACGGATGCCCGACTGTCCAGGGGAACAGGTGATCCCAGGCTGCTGTAACATGGCTGGCTTTAATATGGAAGAAAATCTCGAGTACTGGCTGAAATGCCTGGAGGAGAACGATCAGAAGGTATACTACGAGGCGCAGAAAGAACTATTCAACATCTGCCAGAATTTGTTGAAATCGCCGAGCAATGACCGATATCGCGAGGTACGTCTCGACAATGAAATCATCATCCAGAAGATTCTACCAGCTATCGGCGCCATGGAGTGTTTGATCGAGGTCGGCTACGTCGAGGTACGTATTCGATCCGAAGAACATTTCAAACCTCTCGGTTGTTCTTCAGTCGTTCCAATTAGTAGAATATATCAATAGATAAATGATAACCGACAGCTCGGTATGTTTACTTTGAATGTCACGATACTTACTTTTTTTTACAATATTTACATTAAATGAGAAACATACAACAGGATGGCGAGCGTTTATTTTTCCCACACAACGCGGCTCTCTGGAGGATCCAATGTTTGTCGCAAATGTTGCGTACCAGACTGCAGCAATCTGTAACTACAATCAAGGGGTTTAATAATAGGAAGAAATTCTTTGAGAATATTATTAACCGTCACAAGATTGTTTTGCTTTACGAGAATGAGGAGTTGCAAAAAGAAGCTATGAAGTTGATACCTATCGATTCATTAGGAATGAAATCAGTGAGAACATTTAGGGAACTGCAAAGGTGATTTAAGTCAGACCTGCACTTCATACACCTTTTCTACAGCAGATTATTTATTTCAATTAATTCGTTTATTTTGCAGGTCTTGTAAAATGTATGATTCAGCGGCAACTACTTCTACAGACGTTAAGAAAGAATTGTCCCTCCGAGACTTTCTTCTGGTCACGTTCACAAGCTGGTTTAAACGAGAATTCTTCAAGTGGGTCGACGTCCCAATGTGCCCAGTGTGTTCTATTAAATGTATATACCTAAATGCAATATCAAGTTCAGATGTTCAATGTTCAAGGGTAGAAATGTTCAGGTAAGATTTCTCCAAATACGTTCCAACAAGACCATGTGTTGGGCTGCGGAGTGCGAGAAATAATTAATAATCGTTAGCAATTTCAATCTCGGTGAGCAGCTTACGAGATTGTCTGTATGATGTTAATTCAACTCTAGATGTCCAAAGTGTCGGGAAAAGGTCCCGTTTCCTCGTTATTCGCATCCGAAACCGTTGTTGAAAACGAGACGCGGTCGTTGCGCCGAATGGGCTAACGTGTTCACGCTTATGTGCCGATCATTGAAATACGACGCACGACTTGTATATGACGAGACAGATCACGTTTGGACGGAGGTATGCATCGGATTATCAAGCGATATTCTCGGCAGATATCTTGCGATAAAGTCTGAAATACCGTTTGTAATTTATAATTTTTCTATATCAGGTGTGGTCACCGACACGGAATAAATGGATTCACGTAGACCCGTGCGAAAACGTGGTGAATAAGCCGTTGATGTACGAAAAGGGATGGAACAAAAAGCTGTCATATATAATAGCCTACTCGAAGGACGAGGTGCAAGATGTCACATGGCGTTACACGCGGGATCCGAAAGCCGTCCTGAAAAGACGAACAGTGTGCACCGAGGAATCTTTGATAAAAGTTATCCGAGCAATGTGCAATGTGCGACTAAATGCTGCTAACTGTAGCGCAGCACGTAAGAAATACGTCATCAATCGAACTCTGTGCGAGCTCGCTGGTATGATATATACACCGAACTCGCAAGACGAGGATTCCGAAGAGACCTACGAAGGGCGATCCTCGGGTTCTCTCTCGTGGAGAATAGCACGGGGCGAGATTACGTCTATGGACAAGAATAACCTGGTATGAATATGTTCTGTGCTTTAAAACTAGCATACGTAGATCTTCAAAGTGTGTGTGAGAAAAATTCTCTGTCTTGCCTTGGATTTTTAGAAATGAAAAATTCAAATAATATTCGCGTTACTTTTTTTTGTTTCTGTAGAAAATTGTTACCAAAAGGAATTTATATTACTGTTCACTCGTTAAGTTTATCTTTTTGTTTAGGATAAAAATATAGAGAAGAATTATATTTGGGATATCTCCAAGTATGGGCAAACGTTTGAATTACGATACAATGTCATTCAAGATATATACGAAGTTGTACGTAACGATGGCACCTCTTTAGAGCAAATAAATGGATGGTTAGAAGGGATCAATTCCACATGTGGTGGAGTATTTCGTAAAACAGAGGACGACTGGAAAATGGTCTACTTAGCACGATCTGAGGGAGCGAAATACGGACGTGTTACATGGACTTTCAAAATTACAAGTCCTGAATTATATATAAAGACATTTAACTTGAAAGCTAAGACGCAGGTATTTCACAAGGCTAGTGTGTCTTGGGAAATCGAAGCTATCTTTGATGACAATAGAACTACCGTAATACCTATTGCCCAAAGCAGTGATTTTCATACGAAAAAAGTGGAAAAAGCTGTGAAGTTAAATTTAAGTGCAACACTATCTGGCGGAAAGGATGGAATTGCTTGGCAGCATGCCCAACTTTTTCGACAAAGTATGGAAAGTGCAGAGGAACCATCTATGCTAATTACGATTCAACTGGAAAATCAATGTGCATGATTCCTATGAACTACGTTCTAATTTTAACAATAGAATCATTGTATAGTAAATTATTTGTGAGATAATTGCATTTGTATTATATAAATATGTATAGTATCATTTCATATACTTAATTTTATGGTATTCATATGAGTACAAAATGTATAGTTGTATATTGATGTATTTCCATTTATATCTTGGCATATGGTATATGGCATTAAAAATTGTAAAGTGATATTAAATAATAGCCTTCTACAGTCTCATTAAAGATCATACATATGAAATATATTGTCATATGGAGACAACCAAAAGATACAAATTTTGTGACATCATTATTTATATATGTCAAAATTAAAATATACAAAAAAAGTTGACAAGAAGAAACCTACTATGTTGCGCGATGCTCATGTGTGTTGCGACTCGATGCCATCATTGACATCACTACTTCCACTACTGGCAGTGAATTTTGGAACGCAGCCCTTGATATCTAGGAAATGTTAAATCTTTTCTAGGGAAATATATTTATATTGTCAGGCGTGAAATCTCTATCTTCTGGCGCGAACTGTTGCGCAGTTTGTCACTTGTTTTAAACATTAACATAAAGCTGTTATATATGTGTTAATTTATTTATTTTCATTGTGTTATTTATCATATCTTAAGTGCTGTGTGTATTTATCGAAAAATACTTATTATATACATATATGACAATTTTGACTATTCTATCGAATCGTGGTAGAGGTTATGCTGTGAAAATGTGGGAATGACGTGAATTTTCGTTTTTGTCAATAACAATTACAATTAAGAAATTTGAAAGAGAATAATTTCATAATAATGGATCTCGCTGCGACACAAATATATGATGAAGAAGAGATCGAGTGCACTCAAAGAATTTCTCCAACTTTAGAGGGAAAAAATTCAGTACAGATACAGGTTAGTTATCGTTTCTCTTTATACGTTTTCCTTTACATTCTATGCTATACTATTATTCTTATATTGAATGTTATACTTTATATTATATCGTTGTGTATAGAAATTGTTATCTAACTCAAATTTTTTTTATTAATTTTTAAATTTTTATTTTAATTCTTATAATGTTTGTATCTTATATGGTTTAACTTTCTTCATTATTATCTTAAAAATTACTCATCTTTCATATATATCTATATATCTTTTTAACATTATTTCAGGTTGGGGTATTAAGTATTGATTCCACTGAATATGAAATTAAGAGTGGGACCACAAAAATTGGTAGGCAAGGTATCTGTGACATTTGTATCGATAATGCGGTAAGTTCTTATATTATTTTTGTACCAAGTATTAGATTATATTTGACCTTAAAATTAGGCAATTATTATTCTTTCAATATAAAAGTAAAGAAAAAGAAGTGATGAAAACAACCGTTTGAAAAAAGATATTAACTTTATATACAAAATAAAATTGATATTACATCCTTATAAAGATTAATGAATGTTTAAAAATAATATACTTTTATATACAAATTTGTTTCTTATCTAAAGTTCCGTTCTTATGCAGGTGGTTTTATGTAGCTTATTTTCATCAAGGTCAATTGAATTCCAGAATTCTTTATTCCCTAAATTAGCATTACTATCCATGTATATTTTATCGGGGTGAGCAAGATGCAGATACTGAAATTCCTTCTTTGAAGGGTCTACATCGAGCCATTCCACACCAGCAACAGCTGGTGTTCTAAAAAGAAAATACGGAGAAATAAGAATTAGTATTTCATATTATTTAGTACTGTGTGCTATGATATAGTATTTTGCACTCACCCGTTTGTGACAAAAGATATCCATATATCAATTAAATGTTTTTGCATATTAATATCATCTTGTGTAGTAAGTGCAGTTATCCATGGAGTTAGTATTATAGTAAAAGCATCATCACCATGACAGACTCCTATATATAACAATGTAAAATATGAGATAATAGTACATACTTTTTATCTCCCCCCCCCCCTTTAAAATAAATTTTAATTTTTCAAAATATGTCTTTTAAACCAAAGTTTTCTATCGTCATATACAACTTCCTCCCCCAATCCGATATTAATTGACACTGGTATTTCACGAAACGTACCGTAATTTTTATCAGAGTTGCTTAATATTCGAGTCAAGCTGTTCGCGCCTCTGTATGAATAGCGGTAATACCAGACTGGATTCTGATTAACTTCAGCTTGCATTCTCGCGGCCTTTTCACTGTCGTATATAAAGAAGCGATCACCCGCCATTTCTACCAGTGGTTTTACGTTTTCTATATTTATTGTTCCCGTTCCGAAATAATGTTCCTTGATGAGACGACAGATTTCGACGTGCTTCTCGCTGGGAATAGTGTGCTTAAAATCAAATAAAATCGGGCAGATAGTTTCCCATTGGTTGTTCAAGTCGTTCAAAGTATCAACCTTATTGATAAACACTGCAATAATAAATTAACACTAACCAAAATCTATCCACTAAACATTCGTAAGAATCTATTTTAGTATTGGAAGCAATATTATTACGTGATATAGGAAAAAGGCCTTCATCCTTCACTGTACTTGTAATCCAAGGTACATCTTGTACGTCCCCACTGGTTACAATTTCCACAGGTGTTCTATCGATAAAGCGTATATCGCCAGATTTCTCAACTACTGGCCCGAAGGGAGTGAAAGGATTCATTTCGAACGGCTGAAATAGATTGAGTAAAGCTTTTCTTTGTACATTCAAAAATTTCATCGACGTTCCTCGTTACTGGATGTTATAATGACAAAACTAGATTCACCATAAATTCAGACATAACTCTTAGCATCGCGTTAGCCGGACGATATCTCAAGCAGCGTATCATCTCTGTAGAACTAACTGTAGGACATCCCATCAACTCGCCCAATTTTTTGGCCTTTTCCAGAGGCTTTTCAGTTTGCGTCCAAGAATCGAATGCCGTACCACTCATCGATATACCTCCTATCCAATGTATATTTATACGGACGAGGTAATTTGGTAGTCGTATCGTTTGCACGTTGCATTGTTATCTTAATCGTAAATAAAATGTTACCTTGAAAAAGCCCCGCGCTCATTGGCGACAAATAATGATAATGCACACTTGCAGCGCCAGCACTCGTACCGATTAGAGTCACTTTTTGTGGGTCACCGCCGAACCATTCGATATTATCTGATACCCAGTGTAATGCCATACTTTGATCTTTTAAACCCATGTTACCGGGAACTACTTCATCCTCCGTGCTGAGGAAACCTGCCATTTTTTCAAGATTATTTTAATAACGTCGGTAATAAGAAGACGAACGAGGATACAACGTTTATTATACTATCACCACTGTTGTTATTTAAATTGATGTAATTCAACGATAAAATTATCGTATCGAGTTCCACAACAGTGCAATCTGAAGCAGAGACTTTGAAATTTTACACGATTTTTATTACATTGAGCTACGTCAACTGATTCACTCTGTGCAATTCTGGACTTTGTATTTGTCAATTTTGCAAGTCAACAAGTCATCCGTCATTGGAAAATTAAATATCTCATATTATCTTAATCGACGTTAAAAGCTTCTCAAAATATAGACTTTAAACTTCATTTCCGTTTTTAAGCAGCTCTGTATCATAATTATTTACAAGCATTTGAAATTTCTTAAATTTTTCCTGTCCCTCTTTTTCTTATTCTCTTTCTTCTTACATATTAGGGTCGTATAGAGAATAACATAATATTTCTCACAGTTATTATGACATTACATACCCAATGGTCCCAAACGATAGTTAAAGGTGACAAATATAATGTCGTGATCCATGAGATGTCCCATGGTTATATCGCTGCCGGATCCAAATTGGAAGCAACCACCATGTATCCAAAAGATCACTGGCATAAGTGTCCTAGGTGCTGTCTTTTCTTTCATTGGTACATAAATATTTAAGTATAGGCAGTCGTCAGATCCTGTGGTAGAATATCCATCCTTCTTCATTGGGTTGTATTGCAGACATTTAGATCCAAATTCTGTAGCCGATAGCTCGCCAATCCATGCTGGTATTGCACGAGGGGGCTGCGAGTAAAAGAAACATATTCGTAATGATACGCTTGGTTAAGCAATTTTTTTTATAAATATTCAATGCGGAAAAGACAATTCCCTAATAGTTTATCTGAGAGCAACAAGTAATAATAATAATTTAAGTAGTATTTAATACTATGTTTCGCATGTCTACAAATGCGAAATTGCTGCGTGTTAGCATATCTGTTATCTATAGCAAAATTCATGTACTCGTTTTATATAATTTTAATAGATATTTCTGACATTTATTTACAATGAATGTTATTCTTGTTAGCCGCCTACCTGAAATCGTCTTTTCCCAACCGGTGGAAGTGCGTAAGGTATTCCTTCGTACGCTTCGTACTGCCTGCTGCTATTCTGTGACTTTTTGTAGTAGCCCTTCAATTTTCCTATGGGTGTCCTGACCCTTGGATTTCCCATATCCAGAGTCGCGTGAACCGCTAAAGCCAAGCAAGTCAGTAGGACGATCAGCACTTGTCTAGTCGACATTGTTCTTTGTTAATGTGGTGTTTTCTGAACAACCTACGACGAACTGAGCCTCTTCCTCAGTTAACTAAATGTTAAGTAGTTACATGATTGTTATCGTCTTCCGTCACATATGCGTATTGATTAGATAAAAGTGGCATTGCGATATATAGCCAATCAGGAGCCGATTTTGAATCATACATATCATGCTCGTGTACACGTGCAATAATACATGTATTGTGTTTTTCATCTCGGAAAGGAATATCTCGACAAGTGATTGGCTATAACAAATAATGTTAGTAAATATTCTCGATACTATAGATATATGTTTTCACTTATGATAAATATGTAAATTCTTATTTACACATTTCTTATTTACTTTGCTAGAATAGTCTACTATGTGTGTCTATTACGTCGTTCCTAAGGTTTAATCGTTTAATTCCAGGTAGACACGTAATCAAAGAACATGATCAAATAATAAGACATCGATCTCGTTACTGAATCCTAAAATAAATTTGATAAATCCGAAACAAATGTGACTCTCGAGTCTCTTCACTCTCACGTCGATAAAAATAAGATATAAAGGGTAATTTCGTCCAATTGGAATATCTATCATTGGTTGATCACTTTTCGTATAAGCAAAATGAGTATCAATTTTTTAGTCAAAAATGCAGAAAAATCTCTTAAGTTTTCGTGAACTTCTTTGATGCAAAGAAGCCATTTGTCATGAAAAAGGATAACATTGAATTTGCGCGCACAGCTGCAATGAATATATTTTATTAAAGATTTATAAGAAATAATGAATATATATAATATATATAAGAAATAATGAATATATATACGGTCATTATTATTGGTTCATGAGAGATTCAAAATTCTTCTTTATTTGGGGGTGTATGTCTCAACTTATTCTCATTGAAATTGATCGAATTCCAGAACTCCTTTTCTCCCAAGTTAGCACAACTGTCCATATTAATTTTAGTGGGACTCTCAATATGTAGATAATTAAGTTCCTTCTTAGTGGGGTCCAATCTGGGCCATTTAACACCGGGAACTTTCGGGATTCTGAAACAAACGCAGTAAACGACGATGAGTATTCTAGCTATGTTGACTATTGCACATGATACGTTTTATACTCACCCATTTGTAGCGAATGATACCCAAATATCGATCAAGATTCGTTGCATATCATTATCTTCCTTTTTTATCGTTGGATCTATCCAGGCAGTGTCTAATATGAGGAACACATCGTCACCATGAGAGACTCCTACGCATAAGAGTAAAATATGAAATATTAAATCCCAGGTAGAACTTTTCTTCTACGAATGTAAATTGTGTATAAACAGATTCTTCAAGATCTCTTGAGATAATTCTGAGATTTCACAAGGACATACCGTAATCGTCTATCTTTTTGCCGGCAAGAATGTCGCTCAAGCTGTGCATACTTTTGTACGAGTAATAATAATACCAGACTGGATTCTGATTTACCCTGGCCTGCATACGTGCGGCTTTTTCGCTGTCAACCACAAAGAAGCGATCCCCCGCCATTTTGATCAATGCTTCCGTATTTGCCCTGTCTATTGACTTTGCCCCGAAATAATGTTTTTTGACACGACGAACAGTTTCGACATGTTTCTCTCGTGGAATGGTGTAATTAAAATCAAGGAATTCTGGACCGATAACGTCCCAGTTGTCGTTCAATTGTTTCAGATAAGAATCGTCATAAATAAACTCTGCAATAATGTATTAGTACAATTACCATCGAAATTCTTTTGATATATATATATATATATATGTATGTACATATCTAAAATGAAAATAAGTAGATTTTATGCGAAATAGTGATGAATTGTGATTTGAAATGCCGTCGTTATCAGTTGGAGCTATTGTAATTCTGTCCAAAATATATCGCATTGATTTGAAATTACATTCGTGTATGTGTATGTGTGTGTGAACATCTTGAACAGAATTGTAATAGTTTCAACTAATAACGGCGGCATTATAAATCATAATTCGTTATTATTTCATATAAAAAATTCTTCTTTTCAGATTGACATAATTCAGCGAAGAATTGTTGTATCGAATTTCTCAGAAGTGCATTTTGAAAAAGAGACTTTAAACTTTCAACCTCTTTTTATCACATTGTATTGACACGTGTCAATTGATTCACTTCGTGCAACTCCGAAAAGACATTTATCAATTCTGCAAGTCATCATTCTGTCATCCATTAGAAAAATAAACATCTCACTCAACCGGCATTAAGAGTTTCTTAAAACATACTTCAAGTTTTATTTTCATTTGTTAAGCAGTTCTGTATCATAATTATTTACTGCTTTACAAGTATTCGAAGTTCCCTAAACTTTTCCTATTTTTCTATTGTGTCGCTTTTTCTTTGACCACATATGTATATATGTGCACACACACACACATATAACAATATCTCTTTTTTTCTTAATTATGCGCGTATTATCTTACCGGCTACAGGATAAAGTCCTTCTTCGCTCACTACACTTGTAATCCAGGGTATGTCCTGTACATCCCCACTGTTTACAATTTCGACAGGTTTCCTATCTATGAAAGGAGAATCGCCAAACTTCTCTGGCACCGGCCCAAAGGGAGTAAAAGGATTGTAAAAGAACGTCTAAAATAACAGATCGTATTAGAATCTGCTTCTTTCAGTGCTGTGTTGAGAATTGTGTTGTCGTTGCTCATTAAAAGATACTAAAATGAGGAACGAGAGAAACACACCATAAATTCACTGGCGTCTTCTACGATAACATGGGCAGGACGTTGTCTCAAACAGTCTATCATATCTCTCGTGTTAGTTGTAGAGCATCCCATCAACGCACCCATTTTTTTGGCTTTCTCCGAAGCATTCTCAGTTTGTGTCCAACAGAGGAAAGCTGTACCGCTAATCGATATTCCCCCTATGTAGTTGTAAATTGCGCGCAGATTAGATCATTTAGTTTCCGCGACAGTTATATTAAAGTATCATTTTTAACCTGGTAATCATGTTTACACATTGCGTTATCTTACAAAACATTACCTTGGAAGAGACCGGCGCTCATACGCGATAAATAATGATAATGTACGCTTGCACCGCCAGCACTCATGCCGCTCAATGTTATTCGTTTTGAATCACCACCGAACGACTCAATGTTCTCCGATACCCAACGTAGTGCCATACTTTGATCTTTTAAACCCATATTGCCGGGAACTACGTCATCTTCCGTGCTCAGGAAACCTAGTGTTTTTCCAAATAACTTGTATCGATAACAAAAAGTTGTCGAGCGAATTGTCGAGCTATTATAGAATCTTCCGAGTTAAATATTATTCGTCTAGTCGTTCCGATATTGATTTGTGCAACGAACTTATCAAGATCGTATCGGCAATAATATTTCTCACAGACGTCATGATGTTACGTACCCAATGGTCCCAAACGATAATTAATCGTGACAAGTATAACGTCGTGATCCATGAGATATTTTGCGCCCGTCATCATGCCGGCTCCAAATTGAAAGGCGCCACCGTGGATCCAGAAAAGTACCGGTAGTGGAGTTTTATTTTGGGATTTTTCCCGTACCGGCACATAAATATTCAGGTACAGGCAGTCTTCTGCACCTTCGACTCTCTCCATGGGATCATATGGTATTTGAGTGCGTTGAATACACGGGGAACTGAATTTTGTAGCTGGTAATTCGCCAACCCATGGTGTCGTGCGTTGGGGAGGCTGCGAGAGAAAAAATGACTTAAGAACATCCTTAAGACTCAGCTATTTCAGTTGTCTCGGCCAGTCGGACTGATTTTACTACGTCATAGGCGAGAAATGATACGTTTTTTTGCGACATATAGCTATTATTTTTTTGTAGTTTCCCTGAAAAGGAAAAAAAAAACTGTCACGGCCACCTGAGTACAGCTGAAAAATGTTCCATTATTTCAAGAATTATTTTGCGATTCTACGTGATATGTCGCACAAATATCTCAGTTTGCCGTACATTTTACAGGTTTCAAGATTACGAAACCACCATATTTTTTCAGGAAAAATGGAGAAAACAAAGTTATATGCCGTAAAAAATTTACTGCATGTCATTTCTGTGACGCTATAAACCAGTATGGCTGTCGAGAAATAATTCGAACGTGAATATTTGTCAAGCAAAAAATGCTAATAATGGTAAGCTAGTCTCTTTAAGCAAAATGACAAATAGTTATGCCTCTATAACGCCATGTAACTTCAAAAATTATCATTATTCTCACGATTTGCTCACCTTAAATCTCAGTTCGCCGACAGGTGGTAACGCGTAAGGAATTCCTTCGTACGCCTCATACCGTCTACCATTCTGCGATGTTTTGTAATAACCTTTCAGTCCTCCCAAGGGAATCTTAATTCTTGGAGCTGTCTCGTCTGAATTCACGCAAACGGCTAGGCCGAAGCAAAGTAGAGCGGTCGGCAGTTTTATTAGCATTTTCCGCGATAGATATGCTATCCTTCGTGGCTATAAATTTAATAAGTTTTCATCGGTATCGGCTCGTTTAATATATCCAGTACTTTTTTTGTTCGACTTGCTGTTATATAAATGCAAAATGCTAAATAATCTACTGTTATATAAATATTTGAATTATATATTCAAATGTGTTACAAGAAGTGTGATAAGAAGCTTATATAAATATCTGAATTATATATTCAAATGTGTTACAAGATGTGTTATAAGAAGCTTATTTCGAGCAATTATCTCGACAAAAATTATTATTGACATTAATAGTCATGATCGCGCAAAGAGCAAGTTTTATTGTGAAATTTGGATTTTTCTGTTGCTATTATATACTATAATATGCAAAGTATTGATAATTAACTAGTGCAAAGTCAAAAGCTTTCAAAACTTTCAATATATATTATTCTTGAAAAACAGATGGAAATTTCTTGCTGGAAATTGTGGATTTAAATTTTATATATTCACATGACTTGCGATAATAAGAACTACTAACGTTTGTTTAGTTTACATTGTTTAGTTTACCTTGAAACTTATTTATATCACCTTGAAGCTTATTTCGTGTATATCTTGTTACACTTGTATTTTTAGCCTTTTAATTGAAATTTATTAATTAATCATAATTAAATATAATTAAATAATAAAACATAATTAAATTATGATATATTTTATCTTACAATGATTTTATAGTTAAGTCTACCGAGTAAAGTTTATTACTCGATAGATTTCCAACAAAAACGTGATGGGAAATGTTATTCTATTACTAGTTTCCAGGTGAAAATTTTTGAACACATACAGACGTTTTTATAAACTCCACGCAATCTGTAATGGTTCATTTGAATATCAGGCCAAATAAAATCAATCTTAGATTGACCCTGTATCACTTATCTGCATCTTGCGGTGACTCTTTTCGAGTATATTTTTATCATTTATTTATTAAATAACCTATGGGTTAAAATCTGTTTATGTGAGTATGAATTTGAATTTCTTCTAGATGGTGTCAAATATACATGCGGAGATCGAAGCTGACGGAGGTCAAGGTTCAACATGGATCTGCGATTTGCAGTCCAAAAACAAAACGAAGCTTAATAATGTAATGTGCTATATATATATATCTGCACTTTTTTATTACTAATAGCATCTAGTCATTTGTCTTCATATTGTCTCGCTTATCATTCATGCTATCGATATAACTTTTTATATAACTCTATTTATGTATGTACAGATAGATAATCGAATGAATTGCAGTAGTTTAAATAAATTGCGTAAGCATTCCACTCATTTACATTTTGCATGAAAACATAGTCGTTTTACTGTTTCGTAATTTCTAGACACGACATGCAATGATATAACTAGGAAACAGTTTTCGTTGTAAGTGAGCTATTAAAAAAAAGGAAATTTGAAGTCTTAAAAATTGTTATTTTCTTTTATTCGTCAATCCAATTTCATCGTTATTTCCTTTTAATATTAAAATAATATTTCACTGATTAAATTAATATTTTTGAATGTAATTTTATTCTGTATGTTCTCTCTTTCGCTCATTAGCTAATCGAAAAAAAATTATTGAGAATTACGGGAGGGGCTGCAGCCCTCATAGCTCCCTCTTGGCTATACCATTGGCGACATGAATATAAAATAAGAATTCCTGTGATATTTATAACTTGCAAAAAATGTCTTTCAATGCATGGAGGTTATTGTTAAATTAATTGTTTCAATGTTTGGATTATTATAATTGGTAAAATAATAATATATATGTATATATATTGTCGCAAAGAACACAAATCGTTAATTTGTTATTAAATTATTCTGCTGCTCGTTTCAAACAGTATGCAGTTACACGGAAAAATATTAGTTTTAAATCAAGAATAGAGAGATTCATATATAGCAGGAATATTATAATCTTTTTAGAAGATATTTAGTCTTGAATTGAGTTCAAGTAATACTTGTATCAATATAAATTCAATCAAATCAAAAATCAAATCAAAGATTAGAGATCTTCTAAGAAGATTACGATATTCTTGCTTATATATGAGAATATTCACTCCTAATTTGAGATGAATTTTTTTTCCCGTGCAGTAATAATCCCGTGTATGACAAACATTTTAATCTGACGGCCACTCGTCGCAGATTATTCCTATTAGCATCTTATGCATGTTGCGTATGCATTGCGATTTCTTGTTTTGCCTAGTCTGGGATTATTCGCGGTGTTGAATTAAATCGAACTCATATTTCTATTCTGCGATAACTTTCCACTATTTTAAGTTATATAAATGTGTACAAAGCTTTAGTAGTTAACATGTTTACTGCTTAGCTGATAATACTGAAGCTAATAAATACGGGAGAAAAACTAAACATTACTAAGTATTACTCATCAGTTTTAATAAGTTTTGAATATGTATGGAACAGCTGAAAAATATACGTTTCACAAGTAATTCTCTTCGAAAAAATACAATAATTTCATCGGTTTAATAATTTTATTTGATGATATATTTTTTTGCATATGCACAGTTAGAATTGCGCCCGAATCGTATGTATGAATTGAGAGATGGAAGTGTCATTGAATTTGGTAAAGTGCGTGCCGTTTACCGCACTTATCGTCCAATGCACGACGTAGTGATACCGGAAACACCCGTACCAACACTGCGAAACGTTGCTAGATCAATAATTCCGAACACCCCGGATTCATCCATTGTGAGTATTTCTTTAAATACAAAATTAATTTTTACGCAAAATTGCTTTTATATAAAATTAGTTTGAATTAATATAGTCAGGATGTTTGCTCGATGTTTTTAGAACAATTCATCTTCGAACGACGACGGATCCGTCATCCTCGGAACACAAACGGAGAAGGGAAGTAATGTCTTTCGACGGCCGCTGCTTCCGCAGCAACATCAATCAACGAGCATCGATAAAAAGAATACTTCTTGTGGCGTCTCTAGGAGCGAAAGCGACGATTCGCAAATTGATTTTCGATTGCATGTATCTGCTAACGACAGTAGCGGACGGACCGGTGGAGTTAGCATATTTGATATGGAAACGCAGAAAAACGAGGAAAGCCGTAAGGCAGTAGCATCGAGCTCTATCCATGACATGGAGACGCAAAATGTATCTACGAACGTGTCTAAATATTCCGAAACGCATGCCACGACTGATAAGCCGTTAAAATTCGACCTCCGCGATAAAATGACTGGAAGTTACGCGGTAGATATCAGCGATATGGAAACGCAAATTTACATGAATGCTAATGAGCAACGGCGTGCTGAAAATAGCGAGTCCGATGCAGCGGCGAAGAAATCCACGACGAATATTCACGATCTGGAAACACAGAATTACATCATCGTTATCGCTGGAAATACTCGGGATGCACCTGCGAAGAAATGCACAACGAGTATTCACGATCTAGAGACGCGGGATAACCTCGTGGATGCCGCTAAAATAAGCAGCGTGACTCGGAAAGCAGCGAACGATAAGACCAAGTCTCGCACAGCGGATATGGATCGAATTGAGCGCGATATTCACGACTTGGAGACGCAAAAGCTCGACAATGAGCGTACTGTCGAAGATATAAGCGATATGGAAACTCAGATAGCGGCAAGTCGCGCTGATAAAAAGGACGGGAATGAGAATAGTGATGCGCCTGTTAAGAGTAACACGAATTCCAGAGCCAGTAGTCCGGGACTCTTGTATTTATCCTCGCCGGGAATCAACGAGGACTGTCCGTCGTCGCCGTTAAACCAGAGCGTTCATGTGCTCGAGTCGTCGAATTTACTGGAGTACTTCGGCGAGGGGATCGATCAACCAGAAGGAATACAACAGCATAACGCGTCCACGCCGAAGCCGTGCTCGAAAACGTTGCACAAGAATACAGGAAGTACAGACGCATCGGACAACGGAAACGATAACGAGATAAATAACATTCACGACCTTCCCACTCAACGTAACGACAGCAGCTCGAGAATCTATTCGTCGGACGATTCGGAAACTAACGTAAAGAAGGAGGTTGTAAAGCGCAAGGTTTCGAAGAAGGCACGCAAGAAATCTCAACCGAAACAAATCAAGGACGATTCGGAAACGGACGCTGAGGAGTATTTGGAGGAACTTGCCAGAAAGCAGAGTGGATCTTCGAATAAAATGCGCGACGGGGAAAATAGAAACGATTCTGACGCGACTGTCGATTCCGACGATATATTCGATATGCTCACGCAACCATCGAATGATCATTCTGCTAAGAACACGAATTCGAATTTGCCGACCAACCAACCGTCGAAAACTATCATAAGCGATGCAGTTGCCGACGACACCATGGCGGCAACGCAGAAGGCAGAAGACAAGTGCGGTCGGGATGACCGATCGCATATATCTTCGGCGGACGACGCAGCTCAGCTTCTTTTGCCGCGTAAAGCTTCTCCGAAGGCTACGGTTAATTCCAAGGAGCCTTTGGTGAAAAACAATCGGAATGACGCGAAAGATACGGCACCTACGCACGTTGTACATGTAAACATCGATACATTTGACGCGATCGAATCAGATAATCGTTGTCGTTCGTCGCCGAATCTCGATTGCGAAGATCTGAATTACGAGACTGCACCCACTCAAGTGATCGGCGAAGTCGCTGCGGAGAGAAATCCGACGAGCAGGACTTCCGAAAGCGGCGTGAAAGCTGCCGAATCTGCGAAGGTGGACTTGAATGACACCTTGGAGCGAAATCTCGAGGAAATGTTCGAGGATGTGAATAACGATAGCATTCACGAGGGCCCGTTGATGTCGACTCAATGCTTGGAGGATATGCTACAGTCCTCGGGATACGATGAAGACTTGGCCTCTAAAAATGAAATCATCGTGAACGAGCAAGCGTCCTCGGCTGATACGTCGTCGAAGTCGGGAAGGAAAAGCAATCGGTTCTCACGCATCGTAAAGGCGAGCGAGGTAAAGAAAAATAATGCGGACGAGACCGATTCGCAAAACTCGGATGCTTATTTTGCTGGCATTACTTCGAAACGAAAGAGAAATATTATAAAGGATACCCAGGATCTGATAGATTCCGCGGAGGCCTTGATATCCTCTTGCGAAGTTCCCGACTCCCCGCGGAAGTCTAAAGAGAAGGCTAAGGACGAGGCTAAGAGCAGCGTGCCTGCGAAATCTGACAAAGGGGTAAAGAAGATCGCGAAATCTAAGAGTCAAGCCGGTGACGTTTCGACCGACAAGGATACCGTAAGCAGGACTACCTCGGGCGAGAAAAGAACCGTTCAAAAGACAAAGCTGGTGAAACAGGAAGACGGGACTTTCGCGTTGGAAACGAGGGAGAGAAAAGTCCCGGGGAAAGATTCCTGCGAGGTTGACGTCGATCACACAGTGGGAAACATTGCGAGCGGTCCCGGCGTTCGCGCACCTTGCCCGTCAAGTAGCAGGCAAGATGAGTCGAGTGTATTGTACGTGAGTGACGACGACATCCTAACGCGCTTGCCCGCTGTTAGGATATCGGGCACTCTCTCCAATCCGCCGAGTCCTTCTGCGTCGTCGACGTCGACCGTGCGCAGCGTCAGGTCTAAGCGTGGCGTCGCGAAAGGTAGCGGAAAAGACGGGCCGACGAGAAGTAAATCACTGCGCAAACGGAACGAGCCGAGTCGTGCGATTAACGAGTTACCGTCGGATGACAATCACTCCTCAAATGTTAATCTTGAGACCCTGACAAACAACAAGAAGTCAGAATCTGCGAACAACTCGGAGGATTCAGACAGCGCGACGAGTTACAGACGATTCAAACAGATAGCAGATAGAATGTTCGGTACGCAGAGTCATCAGAAGAAGCGAGATGAAGGAAACTCACCGGACTCGAGCAAGGTATCTATCGTGTCTGTTAAGAAGAAAGGCATAGGTTCTCCTTCACCCGCCGGCTCGAAGCACAATTCCGGCTTGGAAGAGTCGGGAAATCCTGTACAAACTAATTCAACGCGCTGCTCGGACAAACTCGAACAGAGTAACAGAGTGACTCGGGCGAAGAGCGCGACTGGCAAGCCGGAAACGAGGGCTGCAGCCAATAGGAAGAGGGGTCTCAAAACGACCGAGGCGTGCGCAGGGCAGACCGATTCGAAGAAACGCAAAGCTGACGATCCAGTTACCGAAGTTCCGGCTTCTAGACGTTCTAAAAGAGCTACCGCGAGCACTGCTCGAGCAGACAAGCATTCGCCGAGTACGATTGAGGAAATGGAAGCTGGTACGCGCGAGAATTCCCCGGTGATCGGCGAGTCTTCCTTAAGTCGCAAGGCAGCAGCTTCGGGAACGGAGGAGAATGTCGAGGCCGCGGGATCCAGCGTTACGCGAAACAGACGTAAAGTTAACAACAGCCAGCCAGCCAAGTCAACTATGGATGGAAATAGCAATAGAGATAAACGAGCGCAAAAGAAGAGGAAGGAAATTTTGGCGGTTGGGGCACAGGATAAGACGCTAAAGATTGTGCTGAATCCGATCATCGTAGACGAGGAGTCGCGAGAGGTGGAGATGATCATGACGAGGAAACCTCCGGGCGATATGCGGGATGATAACTTATCGATCAGAGAGGGGAGCAACGTCAGTATATTGCGAAGGGCATCGATAATTAGTAGGAAACGAGCCAACACGATAGCTGATACGAGCTCCTCGATTGAAAGCAGCGCGTCCGACACGAGCGATCGTGAGAGCGTGCAATCTGACGGCATCACGTTGAGGAGATCCAGACGCGGAAGATCCGCCAAAGACGCCGTCCCTCCGCAGCCAGCCTCGGAGAAGAGCGATGTTTTCAAGAGACCTGCTCGTGTCAAGCGGTATTCCACAAATTCGAACGTCGTCGTAGGAAGTGCGACGATCGATGATATTCGAGACAGTTCGGGGAGTGACGCTCCCTTGAACATCAGACTTTCGAGGTCGAAAACAGCCGGCGTTAAGAACACGTGGGAGGTCCGGATGAACGAAGATACACGTAGTAAGAGTAGAACAGAGAAGAACAGCGTTTCCTCAGCAATGAACACGAGCGTAAATTCCTCGTTGCGTGTTTCCACGCCTAGCAGAGCGCGTAGAAGCGCGTCGTCGATGAGCGTTTCCTCACCGTCCGCAGCGAAGCACAGGATTTTGTTCACGGGTATAACGGAGGATAAGTACAGTAAAGTTGTTAAAACGTTAGGTGAGCGTTGGGATCCGTTTTGACACGTCGACTACCATGGGGAGCGCCCGGTGATCGGCATTATGATTTCGCAGTGTTCCATTGATTTGCATGCAATGTGCAAAACTGATTACAGCTGACGGATCAAGTATATAGTCAATAGAGAGCCGATCAAATTGATGAACGAATGTATGTATCGAAAAAAATGTACGTATTCGCTGTAACTTTGGTTGTTCTCCGTCAAATCCCTTTGAATTTTGCAGCAGCTCATAGAGAGATCAGCATGGCAGTCGACGTGTTAAGTAAATTAAAAAAGAAAATCCGCGGCATCGATCGTTACCTCTCTTATTGCCGATAATGCTTACCTTCCAGGTGGATGCAAGGTGGACGAACCGGACAAATGCACCGTTTTGGTCACCGATAAAATTCGCCGGACGTACAAATTCCTATGCGCGCTTGCGAAAGGTGTGCCCATAGTGTCGATCGACTGGCTGAATAACAGTGAATCGGAGGCGCAGTTTTTAAACTGGGAGAATTACATACTGAAGGATCCTGCAACGGAAGCCAAATTCGGATTTCGATTGAGGAAGAGTCTTGATAGAGCCAAGGAGAAAGGGTTACTCGTCGGTTACACGATCGTGTTGACGCCGAACATCGCGCCGCCACCCACAGAGGAGTTAAAAGGCAAGTCAGACTTCTTAATCACATCGTAGAAAACATATTTGGATGGATCTGTAATCGTGCGGATTTCTTTTCTCTTGCAGATATGGTGATATCTTGCGGAGGTAGAGTTCTGTTACGGCCGCCCAAAATATGGCCGGAAAAAGCGATGATAATATCCCGCGTGGAAGATTTGCCAAACGCGAAAAAGTACCTTGCGAAAGCGCCGAAGACTGTCACTGTACAATCTACGGAATTTATCTTGACTGGTATCTTGAGGCAGGAAGTGGATTTTGATAAGTACAGATTAACATAACTTCCTTTCGCAACGATGCGCATTGTTGGTATTGCCATTATCCCATGATCTGGTTATCTTGGGTACCATCTATATTAATTGTTATTCGCCAGCCATGTTAACTCAAAATTTTCTATAATATATATATATATATAAGAAATATTTTCTTCGTTTGTACGGTTAGTATTAGACTTATAAAAATGCTATCGCATTCCCACACAAATAATGGAAGAAAGTACAATTGGTCCCTAAATTTTTATTTTCTACTGGATCGTCAATAGTAAGCGTCTTTTCGCTATTATCTCTTAATTACGCGAACGATGCTGTATTTTTATCAAATTGACAGAACGCAAGAAAAGGTACGTCGATTATTTGAAACTTAAACCAGTGTTACTTATATAAATTATCACGGTTTGCCATATTGATACTTAATTCTCTACGCTAGAAATATTTATATCAAGACATAGGACAACTTTATATTGCGTAAAAAAGTTAACGTTACTTTATAATACTCATATACCATACATAGAGCATTTATTTACGTAAGATACGTATGCGTGAGACGCAAAGATTAATTTTGATATGATTATGTCGATATAATGTACATTGCGAGTTTATATTTCAATAAAACGACAAAAGGAGAACGAAAGGAGAAATAACCAGCTCCGTTGACACAGATGGATAATAATGGGGAAGAAACAATACGCCACACTGAATGAGGGAGGGAGGGGGGGGGGGGACAATATGTCTCGGAACCAAA